ACCTGCAGACATACATGCAGGCAGAATACTGTATGCATAATAAAGAAATGAATCTTAAAAAAAATGGTGATGCTCTGGGCCCATCAACCCCACTGTGGGTCAGGATGATGGGGATGTTTTCTCTCAGTGCCTAGGACAGACGGCAGCGAGAGGTGAGCCGCCATGGTCAGAGAGCTGGGTCCTTGACCACGAAGATACCAGAGACGGGTCAGTGCATGGCAATGAGCACAGCAAATGCCACCACCTGTCCCAGGAACGTGGCGTCTGCAGACGTTGAACTGTCTGGGGCAGCACGGCCAGAGATGCCTGTGTCTTGATCCTCTGTTGTGTGGCCAGCACTGTGGCACGCTGCTCTTTGTAAACCACTTCCTGCCTTCCCAAAGCCACCTAGCACCTGGCCAGGTGACAGGAAGGGTCGATTTCCCATGCAAGGACTAGCCGCCCCCATAACCAGTGCCCAGCTGGCCAGAGATACTTAGTAGGCCTACTGTGACCCTAAGGGCACACTGGGCCGTGTCTGGAGACCCTAAGGGCACGCTGGGCCGTGTCTGGAGACCCTAAGGGCACGCTGGGCCGTGTCTGGAGACCCTAAGGGCACGCTGGGCCGTGTCTGGAGACCCTAAGGGCACGCTGGGCCGTGTCTGGAGACCCTAAGGGCACGCTGGGCCGTGTCTGGAGACCCTAAGGGCACGCTGGGCCGTGTCTGGAGACCCTAAGGGCACGCTGGGCCGTGTCTGGAGACCTTCTTGGGTTTCCATAGCTGGGGAGCAGCAGTGCCACCAGCTACTAGTAGACAGAAACCAGGTGTTGCTGCCCCGCCCCCAGGAAAGGGGCACTAACTCCTCCAATGCACTCAGAAGGCTGAGGGGCCAGCCTGTACTCAGGGGTGATGAAGCAGAGGCAGAGGGAAAAACAATTAGTCACAAGTCCAGAAATGCATTAGGCATTTAGGGAAACTGAGGAAGAGCAAATCTCACTTGCTTGGAAGTGGAGATGAGTGGTGTTCTGGGTTCCAGAAAATCCCAGCATATTGTTTGTGAGGTGAGAGAAGCCTAGTCAACTATGCTACCAGTTGGGAGAGCGGCCTATGCAGCCGCTCAGAGGAGGCCGAGTTCTCTGAGCCTCGAAGGCCACAGACTTCTGAACACAGAAAGTGCCAGGGCTGTGCCAAGGATACAGGAAAGCGGTGGCAGTCTCTCAGAGGTCAGAGGCGAGAGCTCAGTGCCAGGCAGCGCCCCTGATGCTGTGCGCTTCCCCCTAAGGTACCCTCCAAGGGCAGCAGCTCTTGAAGCTGCCTGTGTCCACATGAGCTGTAGAGAACTCCGTATCGGTCCCAGGAGAGCGGCTCAGAGACCCCAGGGCTGGGCGGACGCGAGGTACAGAAGATGTGAGGAAGGGAGAAAGGGGCGGAGTTGTGTACAGTGCTGGCCCCCACGTGACAGGTGGTAGAGACACTGTTCAAAAGTCGGCTCCTGACCGGGGAGAGCGGCCGCCTCAGAAATTCCCTCCCGCAACATTCAGAACCCAGATCACAAAATGGGACACACTAGGCTTGTGGTCCCTTCCCACCTTCCAGAGAAGCTGATGAACACCAGGGACACTAAACAGTAAGCCACGGTTAACCCGGCCGCTCAGAGCAGCTCCCGGTCAGCCTGCACCAAACCCACGCAGGTCTCTTCAGACAAATGACAGGCTTGGAACAGGGTTGCTGACTGTCAGGGATGAGCCCGGGAGAGCCTCTCCTTCTTCAGTCCCTCCTACAGTCTGCTTCCTGACCCTTGACCCTTGTTGCCACTCCCCAGCATGGCCTCATTCTTGTCTCTTCTCCTTCCTTCTGCTTTTGAGGCTTAGTCCCATGAAGCCCAGGCCAACCTTAAACTCCCTGAACTCCTGATCCTCCTGTCTTGGGTTACAGGCCGGTGTCCCCATCCATGCCTATGCTGTTCAGGCCTGTCCTCCAGCCCACACGGCTGCTGTCTCTTCAGCAGTCTGCCAGGGCCTTGCTTGCCAGGGATCACCACAGGAGACTATCCAGTTCCCTCTTGGGAGGAGGGAGGGGAGGGCCATGCGACCCTCTCCTGAGGAGGCAGACACAGCCAGATGTAGGCAATCCTTCCCTAACGCCCTGGTCTCAAGGTCCCTGGGGACAGCTAGAGGACACAGGTGGTGAAGGACTGGGGGAGGGGACAGCCACGGAGGAGCCATCGTCCACACGGTGCAGACCTGCTGCAGTGCTTTAAGGTCCCCCACACGCAGTCAGTAAGGCTGACAGATTCATTGCTTCCTAGAACGAAGCCGGTGAAACCACACATTGGTTTGTCAGCGGGACCAAGGTGGGAGTACCCCGGTCTCTCAAGGAAATTTTAGCAACACCTGGCTCTGTCCCTACTTTTTAAAAGATTCATTTATTTTATGCCTATGAATGTTATGAGTGTTCTGCTTACATTTAGGTCTGTCTGGAACTTCCATACCTGGTGCCTTCAAAGATTAGACACTGGGTTCCCTGGAACTGGAGTTATGCACACTCACAAACAGTTGTGAGCTACCACGTGGGTTCTGGGATCGAACCCAGGAAGAACAAGTGTCCTAACCACTGAGCCACCTCCAGTCCCCATCCTTGACTTCTGATGGTCCCAAAAACTGAAGTGCACTTGCAACAATTACTGGGGTTAACGATTACTTTGTCTGTCTGGTTTTCCATCTGTTTTTAATAAAATGCTTAGCTTTCTATGTGCTTTTGCCTTGACAATAAAGCTTCAATTTAGCTGCCTTCTAACATGTATAAACCCTTTAGTTAATTTCTCCCGTGCATCAACGATCCTGAGTGGGGCTGGAGGTCCCCTGGTGCTCTGAGCAGCTATCTGACTGGAGGGTAGAACAGAGCCAGCGCAGGTCGCTGCGCCCACAGGAATGGGGATGAATCAGGAAGGACTTCCCTCCTCCACCGAGACCCTGTACTGGTCCTTCATCCTCCACCTCCATTCGCCCCCCTTTCTAGCCACCGTCTGCAAGATGAGTACCCCTCCAAAACTCCCAGTCGCTCCCCACTGCCCAGACACGGCGGAAACACCTCCCCTTGTGACTCCGTGTTCTCGATGGACTGACCAGTGAGTTCCTAACGGTCTGTTCCGGAATGGAAACGATGAGAAAGGACTTTCCGTCTCTAGCTGACTCAGGTGCAGGCCAGGTGACCGCCCCACAGCAGTGGCTGAGCTCTGCAGGGCACACCTTGGTCTGGCTTGGTCCTGAGACCGGGTCACGAGAAGACCGGCCATGTCTGCACGGCTCTCGTTCTAGGATGTCTGTGCTCGGAGCCCAGCCGTCATGCTGTGAGCGTCACTGTCCTCTGACTTCCACGGACACGCACAGTGTGCCCTGCACACATGCACACAGACAGATAAACAAACAACGAATAATGGAATTTTACAAAGTAAAGGTGCCTGGTTGTTACCGTGCATGCCTTTAATCCCAGAGCCCTGGAGGCAGAGGCAGGTGGATCTCTGTGAGTTCAAGGCCAGCCTGGACTACATAGGGTCAAAAAAGAGGTGTTGCTGGGGTGGGGTGGGTATTTGGGTCAAAAGTTTTAAAACTACCACTTTGCATGGTGACTTCAAAACCCAGCAGCCTTGTTTGGCTCTCGGGATGCCGTCTAAAGATAAACCCACTGACCGCCACACTCTGGGCATGCGCCGGCTCCCTAAAACCTGCAATCTTATCCCCAGCTATGCTCCTCACACCTGGAAGGGGGGTGGTGACCGAGGACTGTGTCTGAGTCGCCTGTCACAGCACCTGGCCCAAGGAAGCAGCAAGGAGGCGTAAGAGGCAACGGCTGCAGAGTCTTGAGCTGTGCACAGAAGCTGGAGCTGAGCCTCCGTGGGAGGAGATGAAGGCTCAGGCTGAGCTGCAGCCATTGTTGCTGCCCCCTGACAGAAGTCAGTGCAGGCCAGCAGTTCTCCCAGCCCGGAAGACTTCCTCCTCATTCCATGTGGGGCCTTCAGAGGCCTCTACCCCCTTCTTCCTCCCTCACGCTCCCTTCGGAGGAAAGCCGCCGGATGTGGGTCTGAGAACTGCAGGGGCTCTTGCCCTAGACCTTCCAGAAGGATCCACAAACAACCCCAACCCTAGGACGGACAGACAGACCCAGGCTGGTCGCCCTGTTTGGTAACAGGAAAATCCGCTGGGTGTAAAAGGCAGAGAAAGGGAAGCAGAGCTCCTGGACCCCTGCACATCAGAGATTAAAACAGAGCCAGGTTTCCCCTAACCCCCAGCAGGGACCCGCCGTAACCCAGCATGCCAAACAGTCAAGACAATGACCACCAAACTCCCTGGTGTGCCCCTTCTGAGGGTTTCGAGATCATGCCAGGCATCCTGAGAACAGAGACACTGCACGGGAAGCCCAAAGCATTGTTAGGCTCTGCTGAGGGAGCTGCCGCCCAGCAGAGAAGGAAGAGCCCCTGTTTCTGCCCCATAGACCTGGGGGCAGGGACTAAAGGTCTCTGTCATGTCCCTGAGCAGATGTGACGGCACGCACCTCCAGTTCCAACACTTGGGAAGAGGAAAGGGGATCTGGAGTTCCAGACCAGCCTGGCTGTCTCTAAGAAACCAAACAGCAACACATTTATGGTGGAAATGGAAGCCGGCTTCTTGGTGGCCCATTGCACCCACACGGCAGAGAAGAAAGAATGTTCACTTACTCGACAAACACTGACTACCCTCTGTAGCACGTGGTCCCTCAGACACAAGAGGAGCCAGAGCAAGCCCTTGTTCTTGTGGGGTTTATTTTTCAGTGGGCACAAAGACGAGAATCTCCTAAAGACCTACATACGACACACACATTCGATGATATCGTAATGAGTGTCCACTGTGGATTAAGTGACGGGTGCAGATGCTACTATGTCAGGCACCCTGCCATCAGGGACTCAGCCTGCGGAACCCGGCAAGGCCAGGCTCCTACGTGGAGCCTGTGGCCGTCGGCCAGAGCCCGGGGACGTGGTCTTTACCTTTACCGCGTGTTCGTCTTCATCTGTCGGTGAGCAGGAGCCACTGAATGAGTGCCACGCGCATACCCGAGCCACTGCACAGAGCTGCGGGACAGAAAGGAACCAAGGACGTGACTGAGTGGGGCCAGGGTCCGAAGACAGCACTAGGAAGTTTTACCTGAACACTGGGACTCAAAAACCAGGGGTCCATGTGACCTCACACAGACACACGCAGACACACACAGGCAGACAGGCAGGCAGGCAGGCAGACAGACAGACACACAGACACACACACAGACACAGACACACACAGACACAGACACACACACACACACACACACACCCTGGGAGGCTGTCACACTCAGCCTGAGTCAGCAAATATTTCCCAATCCTGGAAGGAGTCCGCACTTCCAAGCAGGCAGACACCAGCCCTCCCTGCTGATCTTACCTGGGTGGGGCGGAAGGAGATGGTAAGGTAAGGAAGAGGTGCCCAACACCCCACTAGCTCGTAAAAGGAGAGGCCCTGAGTCACAGAGAGACTGGAGTCACACCCCAGTCACCAGCCCCAAGGTATGAAGGCCACGGGAGAAGAGCCGCATGCCTGAAACCTGATGCTGAAGGCCCTGCCAGGCTCCGGCTAAGTACCCAGCTCTCCTCTGGACACCCTGGAACCCCGCTGCTCCAGCAAGCCACTCCTCCCCTGGCTCTAGTGGCACACAAACATGCTCAGTGACATCAAACCACCTCCAAGAAACAGCCCCAGGGCAATCTGGGACGACAAGGCACAGGCAAGGGCACTGGGCACAGGCTTTGGACGTAACACAAGCCAGAGCCTGGCAGGACAGACAAGCCTGTGTAAGCGCTCCATAGGGAGGAGTGCTGCCAATGTGGACAGTACCACGGGGTTAGTCCTGGCATTGCCAGGCCCCCAGAGGCGGAGAGGAGGGCACCACACCCCCAGACATGCAGAGAGCAGCACCCTGTGGAGCTGGGCCTCAGCCGAAGCTGATGGAAGCCACGGATCTCACACCTCCTGGAGAGACGAGCCTCATCGTACCAGGACATGCCAGGCTCAAGCCCTGGGGACAGCTTGCACAACAGCCGGGCAGTTGTGTTCCTTCCAAAATAGAGGCCTACCAGCTTCTCAGGCTAGTCTCCACACTGGCTATCCTGCCAGGCCTTTAGGGAGGAGAGTAAGGGACCCCAGTTGGGACGGGGAGGAAGAATTCGGCTGCGTTCCCTGGGTGGCTTGAAGCACACCCAAGTGTAGCAGAGAAAAGACAAGAGGAGCGGGGGTCAGTCCAGTCACTATGGAAGTGACTGGTGATGCCACTGGCCAGGGCCTGTTCACCCGTACCTTCAAAACAGGTATTGGCCCACAATCTGCAAAAATCGCCAAATGGAAAACAACTGTTCCCTTGAAGGCTGCAGAGCGGACGCGTCCCAGGAGACTATCTGGCCAGCTCTACCAGGACTGGCTGGCCCTGGACTGTGCTCAAGATTCCCAAGGCCCGCCTCATCACAGAGCACCGCTGACAGGACAGCGGCAGACCGCTTTTGCAGAAGATCCAGGTTCGATTCCCAGCACCCACACAGTGGTCCATAAGCCCAGGCCCAGCAGACCCAATGCCCTCTTCTGACCTCTGAGGCACACAGCACCAAGTACACAGACATGAGCACCCAGAGTGTCAGGCAGAGTGCCGAGCACTCAGCCGTGCCCCTCAAAACTGAGGCCAGGTGGGGTGTGGCGTCCCAGTAATACCAGCAGGAAGACAGAAGCAGGGAGACTGCCGCCAGTTAGGAGGCTAACCTGACCTACAGCGTGAGCTCAAGGCCAGCCTGGGTTAAGAGTGACACTGCCCCAAATTTAAGGAGGGGGTGGGGAACAGGCACTCGTCACCCAGCCTGATGACCTGAGCTCAATACCCGGGACCCAAACAACTGAGAAAACGGACTCCAAGAATTTGTCCTACACGCTCACACAAAAATAAATAAATGTAAAAGATATTTAAAAAACAAAACCTTGAGGGACGTTTTTCATAGAAAGAAGAGATTTCTCCTCATCTACTCTCCACTCCCCGAATCCAGGGCTGCATAGAGGAGACTGGCCCGACCGCAGGCCAGCCACAACCCTACTGCTTTCATGGAAAAGGGTCAGTGTTCACCAAGATTACAAAACTGTAAGGTCTGGTCGAGCTGGTTTAGTTGGCTCCCAGCTGCGGCTCCAGAAGGCTGCTGTTCTGTGACCAATTCTGGCTCACAGAAAATGCGATCCTCAAAAGTGGGCACCAGCGTAACCATGGGCTCCCTGTTCTAATGTGAAAATGGGTCACACTTCCAGATCCACCAAGATCAGGTGAGGTAAAACGGGGTACACATTCTTTCCCGAGAAAGTCTCCAAGGGTCCAGAGCCAAATAAAGGAGCCCAACCCCAGACGTCTGAGACATCGGATGACCCATGCGCCTGGAAGCAGACAGCTCAAGCTCCTTGCGAGGCCTCCCTGGTGCAACCCCGCAGCCTGCCCAGGCGCATACCAAGGCAATACACCCCAGACCGCACCTGGGTGGCAACAGGAACGCCAGCTACCTCTCCCAGCCACAGGAAATGAAGCTGTCCAGGAAAAGGAAGGAGAAAAGGCACCAAGAGACCACGTCCAGGGACCAACATTCAAGGCACATTCCATCAGTGAAAGACAGGACAGAAACTCAGTGGCCTTTATTCAAGACATCATGACTAAAGGCTACAGATGCCCAACAGCCCCAGGGCTAACAGGCCAATTATCCATTTAAAAACTCAAACGGGGAGAGGGGAAATGGACTCTGGGGCTGGTGAAGGGGCTCAGCAAAGCGTCACCGGCCTCCATGTCCCAAGTCTATTTCCAGGGCCCACCGGAGAGAATGAGACAACCAACTCCCAAGCCCAGTAAGCTGTTCTCTGACCCCCACACACCCCACCCCACCCCACACCTCACATAAACAGATAAATGTAACGTTTAGACAAAAAAAGCGTTCTACAGCCAGTACAGGGAAGAAAAACCAAGATGAGGACCACGGTCATCCCTGGGCACGGCTTCTGGAGACTTCTCTAAGTTCTCTGAGATAGGGCAGTGAGTGGAAGGGAGGAGTGAGGCCACAGATAGCTCCAAGTATCAAGGTTTAAATGAGCTCCACAATAAACCCAAAGGAATCCTATTTCCTGGAAGGGGAAAAAGGAGTTATACGAGGCCTCCAGCTACCGCTGGCGCACACCCAACTCGGAGCCGTCTCTCCCCAAGGGTTCCTGGAAGTCAACAGACCCATAAAGGGGAAGTATTGTGAAGCTGGGATTCGAAGGCCTAACACTGGACATCCCTCCCAGCGCAACCCCCAGTAAACCCTCCCACCCGAACAAACCTAGTCAAGAATGGTCAACAACCCCATTCAAGCCTTCCCCCTCTCAACCGAAGGTGAAAGCGAAGCCTATCATGTTCCCCTGGGTTCTCCCCGAAGCTGAGGCGAAGAACCTAGAAGAGAAGCGGTCGGGTGACAAGAGGTGAAAAGGACGGAACTGCTACCAAGGAAATCAGAGCCGGCAAAAGCAGGGCCTCTGCCGGCAGCCAGGATAGAAGAGGCTTGCATAAACCGGACGGGCTCACAACCTCCTAGGGAAGTCGGGGAGGGATCCAGCAATCGAAGAAGCAGGGGACGGAGACGGGGAGGGAGAGCAATGACCGACCGGGCAAGGATGGGAGGCTGTCGAGGGAGGCGGGAGGGATCTCCAAAGAGAGGGCTGGGTAGAGGGGGCGCCGGAGAGGGCACTCGGGGAGAGGTCAGAAGGGAGGTGGAGACGGGGATCTCGTGGAATCGGGAGGAGAAGAAGCCGCGGGGCCCCAGAGGGGGGTCAGGGTGGGTGGGAGGAGGCAGGGATGCGAGCTTGGAGCAGCCACAGAGGTCTCCGTCCAGGGGACCCCGGCGGTGACGCCTCAGAGCACAGGCCGAGCGTGGAAGAGCCGCAGCCGCGCGGAACGCAGCCTCCGGAGCCCCGACCCCACCGCCCACCTCGGCCCGGGCCGCGCTGGCCTCTCCCGACCCGCACGGACCTGTCCCGGCCGCCTCCCGCGACGCCTCCACAGCCGTCCCGCAGGCTCCGCAGAATCCCCCAGCTCCTGCCAAAACTTTTCCCATTAATCCCCGGCTCCGCCGCGGCCTGCGGCGTCACACGCTCCGAGCCCCGGCCCCGCCCCCGGCCCCGACGTCACCGCGCCGCTCGTCCCCGCCCCCCACCGCCAGGCACTCGCCACGCCCTCTTCCTCCAGGGCAGCCACCAATCGCCGCGCCGCCGGAGCCATCGCTCCGCCCACCGAGCCGCTGCCCCTCCTGGCGGGTCAGCAGCGCCCTCTGGAGCCAGATGTGGGAGCAGCACCTGAGGAAGGCGCAGGGGAGAAGCTAGGGCTGGTAAAACGAGTCCAGCGAGTCACACACACACAAGGAAATTTAAAGCGAGGCAAGAAGGTGGAGGTCATCTAGTACAGCCTCCTCGCTTGTGGCTTGAAAGAAGCAGCTAAGGGTGGCCGGGGCAAGGAGTAGACACAAACTGTAATTTTCAAAAGAGCTCGAGGGTGGCGCATGGGGGAAGCCCTGGGGGTGAAAATACACACACAGACACATTTTTAAAGGTCTATTTTTATATGTCCGAGTGTTTTGTCCGCCTGTCTGTGCACTACGTGCGTGCAGTGCCAGCTGAAGCCAGAAGAAGGCGTTGGATTCCCTGGAAGTGGAGTTACCGCCAATGGAGAGCTTCCGTGTACCCATGAAGATGCTGGGAACTGAACAGCGGCCCTCTGTAAAGCAGCAAGGGCGCTTCACCACTGAAACATCTCTCCAGCCCTCCAGTTTTGTTTTGTTTTGTTTTCATTTGAGAAGAAAACGGGTGGCTACTTCGATGACTTAGCGGGTCACCATGCTTTGCCTTCAAGCCTGATGACTTAGTTCCGTCGCTGGGACCCGCATAATGGAAAAAGAGAACAGCCTCCTGAAAGTTAGCCTCTGACCTCTACACACCCACGGGTGCACTCGCGGGCGCGGGCACACACACACACTGCACACATATGCCGGGCTGGACCAACATCCTCCAAAACAATACAGAGAAACCCTGTCTTGTAAAACAAAACAAAACAAAACAAAACAAAAGATGTTGGACAGGCTAGAGGACATATTTTATTTATTTGTTTATTTATTTATTTAGTTTTTTTTTCAAGGCAGGGTTTCTCTGTGTAGCCCTGGCAATCCTGGGACTCACTCTGTAGACCAGGCTGGCCTGGAACTCAGAGATCCACCTGCCTCTGCCTCCCGAGTGCTGGGATTAAAGGCGTGAACCACCACTACCACCCAGCAGGAGTTATTTCTAACCTTTGGACAAAAACCTAGGAAATATCTTCTATTCCCCAAGATGACAGCTTCCCATGCTGCTCAAAATCAGAGCACATTGAGACATCGTACATCAACCTAAATCAGAGCACATTGAGACATCTTACGATCACCTTGTCACATCGTACCTCAACTGTCAGTGTTTCCCCATGCCTTGCCATAGGACACTGGAGAGCCCAGAATGGACTTATCACTGAGGACACTGAGGCACACGTGATAGTTGGTGATCTTGAGTCTAAATTCTACATAGGGCAGGGAAAGTAGGGAGGCCCCATTTGGTCAAAGCATAGCAAGAACACAGACTCCCCTTAGCCACGCACAATGGTATGCACACACACAACCCAACACTTGGGAGGTAGGGGCAGAAGGAGTAGGAGTTCAAGGGCAGCCTCAGCTACACAGTGAGTTCTAGGCCAGTTTGGGTTATATGAGACCCTGGCTCAACAAACAACCCCAAAACAACAGACTTTATCTGACTTAATGGTTGATGATTTGCCAGTCATGATGGTTGGTGTGTGCCTGTAATCGCAGCTCTGGGAAGGCTGGGGCAGATTGAGATCTCAGGTTCCTCACAAGCCTGGGCTATAGATCTTAAGAATAAGAATAAGAATAATAAAGATTTAGAAATCAATCAACTCTGTCTGGTTTTGAAGAATCTCTTGATCAGGCCTTTCTTCTTTCTTTCTTTCCTCCCCCCCCGTGTGTGTGGATGGGTAAGGGGCAGGGGGTGTCTTACTATGTTTCTGGCTTTCCTAAAATTCACTCTGCAGACCAGGATGCTTTGGAACTCACAGAGATCTGCCTGCCTCTGCCTGAACTAAAGGCGTGCACCACCTTGCCCATAAGTTATTTGATTTTTATCATCTTTTTTTCCCCTATTATTCTGGTTTTGTTTGTTTTGTTGTCCCATTATTGTTTTGAGACCAACAGGGTTTCACATATTCCAGGATGGTCTCAAACTTCCTCTGTATGTAGATCCCCTTGCCTCTACCAGTTTGTGTGTGTGTGAGTGTGTGTGTGTGTTTACGCGCACACGCGCGTGAGTGTGCATACGTGCAAATGTACACGCACCATAGAGAGCACGAGGACAGCTTCCAGGGACTTTGAACTCCTGATTCTCCTGGGCAGTCCACTCTTGAAAGACAAAGGCTGGAGGAAGGGCCGACCTTCGGAAAGCAGAGAAGGGGAGATTGAAACCCAGAGACAGTTTCATTGGACAGCACTTGGGAACTGCCAAACTGACATTCTTCCAACTCTTTGCACTCTATAGATTCCCTTCTCTAGTTAGAAGGACATTAGCCATCAATCCTACCCCCTCCGATAGCTGGATTGTGTGTGTGTGTGTGTGTGTGTGTGTGTGTGTGTGTGTGTGTGTGTGTTGTACACACTCATGTGTGTGCTGTGACGGAGACTCAATATGCAGGTCAGACTGGCTTTAAATTTTTCTTTTTCTGTGTATTCTCCCCGATCCCTGTTTGGAGGGAAACCTGTGACCCCCTGCCTCCGTGCCTCCTCCTGCCCTTCAGTACTGGAATTACAGCGCCAGGTGGGGCTGGGAATCCAGACTTCTCGTGCCCACAAAAACTCAGCGCTTCTTCAGACCTTACAACGAGCGTTGTCCTGCTCTCCTTCATGTCTGTAGGCCACTAAGGGCTTTCCAGCTTGGCGGCACACACCTGACATTTCAGTATGCGAGAGGCTGTCAGGGAGACTGGGAGTGCAAGGCTAGCCTCGGCTACAGAATGAGTCTGAGGATAGCCCAGCACTCAGCAAGAATACATATTTAAATAAATTGACAAGCACAAGAAACGTGGGGGAGGGACATGCTGGAGAGGCAGCCCCTGAGCGGTGTGTGGTAAGGAGGGAACATTTGCAAGGCCCTGACTCCCACCCTCGGCACTGCAGAAACGAAACGGTAGCCGGGGCAATCTCAACCCCCAGTTCCTCCGCGAGGCCCTCTCTGCTCCAGTCATTCCCACAGCACTTGGAGTTTGGACTTCCGGTCCCAACCCTCAACTCTGCACCCTCTCAATGCTAGCAGCTGTTCTGTGACACTTCTGATGTCACAGACTTCCTTGAAAGAGCACCGGGTTCACCTGCAGAAGCTGTGAACTTTGTGCTCCAGGAGGGCAGGAACCATTTTTTTTTTTTTAGATAACAGCTCACGCTAAACGGGAAACCTGGCACGTGGTCCTGACTCACCGGATTCGATGGGGGATGGGTTTGAGCCCCAGTCTCAGCTACATCATCACCTTCCAGCTGTGCCCCGCCCCCAGTCGGGCATCACATCCATTTGACATATGTTTGTTACACGGATTCCTCAGAAGCCAGCTCTGGGCCACGCACAGGGGACAGCACTGAGGAAGACAGGTCCTTGCCTTCAAGGGCCTTCAGCACTGTTACAGATGCCGTGACATGAAATGAGGAGGGGTGACAGCCGCGGGGAGGCCTACAAGAAGCAGGAAGCTGAGGCTAGATCCCCGAGGCAGAACTGTAGCACGTCTTCCTTGGTTGATTGCCATGGCCGTCATTCCCCGCCAGGAAGGGGGGCAGGTGAACTCACAGTGCAAGCCCAGGGTGATGGCTCGGCCGGGAAAGGTACCTGACTCCTGGGATTACGTGTTAGAAGGAGAGAACCGAGTCCTGAAAGTTGTCCTCTGACCTCTAGAGTGGCACATGCACACACACACACACACACACACACACACACACACACACACGAACGCACACGTACGCACGCACGCACGCACTAATTGAATTAATCTCAGATGTAGCCGAGTGTGGTTGTGCCTACCTATGTTCAGGGACAAGCTGATTGGTGGCCATCCTGAGCTATCGAGTGAGACGCTATGTTCAGGGACAAGCTGATTGGTGGCCATCCTGAGCTATCGAGTGAGATGCTATGTTCAGGGACAAGCTGATTGGTGGCCATCCTGAGCTATCGAGTGAGACGCTACCTCAAACAACTACAAATCCTTTGAGACAGCACCGAGGGGCTGGACAGAGCCAGGATCACAGCTGCATTTTGGAATTCCCACCCAGGCAGCAGGATTGGAAGGGACTCCCGCCAAAGCTCATATTTAATTAGTTGACAAAACCACTGGCCACTGGACGCAGCACCCACTGGGGTGGATTTGGGAGTGACCCAAAGAATCCAGCTGATTGGGCTTGGCGATTTATTAAACATGGGGCCAAATGGAGGAGTCGACCGTGCCACACTCCGAAGCTACGAGGATGGGAAAGGAGGGCATATTTGCTACTTCTGTGTCACTTGACAGAAGGGAGGAAAGGTTTCTCCTTGCTTAGGTTTGGGAGGGCTCACTCCAGCACAGCAGGGGTGACGTGTTCGGTTGGTTACATCTTGGCAACGCAGGAAGCAGGGAGCATAGAGGAACCAGAGCTGACCTCATAGGGAACCGCTTCCCAGGTGGGTCCCACCTGCTACAGGCTCCACAGTCTCCCAACAGTAGTGCCCCTCGCCGGGGTCAAGCATCCAACACATGAGCAAGGGGAGAACAATCTAGACTTCAAGCATGCTAGAGAGAGCTACAAGAGCATAGGGGAGAGCGAGCGGTCCTGGAGGACAGGAAGCTCGTGGTGGGGGCTTGAAGACAGAAGCTAACTTTGTGGGGTCTAGAGCCTCGGGCATTTTGTCTGAGGGAACAAGGCACATGTTGAGAGAACATGGGGTGAAAAGGAAACTTGAAAGGCTTCGGACAAACTCCCCCGATCTGCCTGCACCTCTGTTCTTGGGACGACAGTCAGCCAGCCCTTAGGGTGGCTATGGGAGTGAAGTACTGTGGACAGCCTCCAGGCAGACAACGGATGCTCAATGAGCACTTCAGATGATGCTAATGATGGTGCCAGTGTGAATTCCTGCTCCTGCAGGCCCTCTCCGTCGGGGATTACGACCACCTCCATCCACCAGCATGGGGAGTGAAGTTCACCCGCTAGAAAGTGTCAGAGCCATCAGCCCACAATCCATACCCCCGACCACCTCACCACACCTGCTGCCCCTGGGACCTTGAACTTGAAGGAGGGTTGGGGGAAGGGAGGGAGGGGGAGGGAGCAGTGGATAGATGCGAGCAGTTTTATTTGGAAGTATGCCTCCATGGCTTGGTGGAAGTCTGCAGGGGAGAGGGCAGATGACCTTTGGGGACAGATGACCTTTGTCTTGGGGACAGATGACCTTTGTCTTGATTGTTCAGATCCTTTCCCAACCCTGGTCACAGGGTCCTCGAGACTGAAGCACAGAACCATATTCTCAAGTAGTGATACCCCCACACAGCCTCTGTGGTCGGGGCCTGGTGACAATGACAACCACATCCTATCTTGGACAGGCTTCTGGTCGTCGGGCCTGGGCCTTACACAGTGGCTGGAGTCGCTCACTGTAGCCGGGTCCTAGTGGACACAGCCTCAGAGGAACAAGATGTCATCAGAGGCCTAATTTTCTGGTGCTGGACCCAGTGTGTCTTCCCGAGAGGTGGAAACCACGGTGGGAGCCTCATCCCCGCCATTGAGGGACTTCTGTTCACTGCTGTTGGCTGCAGGGGTTCTGCTGCCTTGGGAACCCCAGCGGGTCAGGCGTTTTAAAGAGGAGTCCCGGCGGGCAAGCGGAGAGGGTTGGAAGCCGGTGAAGGAGCTGCTGGTGGTCGGTCGCTTGTCTGGCAGAGAGGAAGGGGTAGCAAGAAGTGAGTTGGAGTGGGAAAGGCGAGGGTCTTTCCTGCCTCAGCCCCGGGAGAAGGGAGACCTTTGGCCTTCGGTCCCACCTTTGTGGTCCAGGAGACCGGGAAGCCTCCCCCTCTCCATCCCAGGCCAGGGAAGGCTCACCTCCTGGCTCAATCGGATGCATGAGCCTGTTCATCTGGACATTCCAGTGTCTCACGTTGGTGCTAGCCTGGCGCAACTTCCGCTGGGCAGCCTGTGGAGCAGGTGGTGGGAAGGATCAGAACCGCCAACCCATGGTGGCCGGGTCAGGGTCAGAGCCCCTGAGAATCTGACCACATCTCTCCGGGAAACTCAGGTAAGGCCGGCCATGGTGGTGCATGTCTGAAATCTATACTTGGTATATAGAAGGAGGAGGTGGTCACGGCTCAGGCGACAGAACGTGCTAGAGACCAGCATGGGCTACGTGAGACCCTGTCTCAAAAAAGGTGGGGGAAGGGGACCAGAGAGAAGTCTCGGTGGCTAAGAGCGCTGGCTGCTCTTACAGAGGACCCGGGTTCGGCTCCTGAACCTGTGTGGCGGCTCACACCATCTGGGACTCACAGCCTTGGGACTCGGTGCCTTCTCCCGGCTTCGGATGCCTGCATGTGCATTGTTTGCACACATAGCACATAAAATAAACAGTTTACTCCCAGTCTCCCTAGAGACAGGGCTTCTTTGTGTAGCCCAGGCTGTTCTGGAACTCTCTCTGTAGACCAGGCTGGCCTCGAACTCACAGAGATCCGCCTGCCTCTGCCTCCTGAGTGCTGGGACTAAGGGCCTATGCCACCACACCTAGTAAAAGCTTTAAAAGAAAGTGTGTGTTTCATTTCCTTTTCTGAGCCGGGGCCTCGTGTATTTGGACTATGTAGCTGGTGATGACTGAACTTGTCATCCTACCCTGTGGAGCTCTGCAGTGCTGAGATCACAGCCACAACGCTTGCTACAAACAAGCAGTGCGGGCATTGAGCCCGGGGCTTTGTGGACGCCAGTCAGGCGAGCACTCTACCAACTGAGCCACGCTCCCAGATCCTGAAAGACATCGTTGGGCTGCAGAGATGGCTGGGCAGCTAGGAGCACTGGCCGCCTTCAGAGGACCGGGGTGAGACACCCACATGGTGGCTCACAACTGTCTAACTCCAGTCCTAGGGGATTCAACACTAACACCTCTGTCTCTGTGAGAGCTGCCCACACACGGTACACAGACATACATGCAGACAAAGCACCCACACACATAAAAAGAAATAAAAAAAATTTAAACACACACACACACACACACACACACACACATAAAAGCAACCCTAGAACCCTTATCTACAGGGATTCAAGCTCCAAGGAGTGTGCACAAGCCTAGGGCTTGGACGACTAGGAGGGAGAAATTCTGCCAAGCTAATTACATTATTGGCAAATACACTGGCTACGGGTGTGTTCTGTATTTACATGCCAAATATCATGTATTAGCTTGTTTCACTGTGGTAACCAGAGTTATCTGTTTCCTTTCCCAAATGGGAGACTTCGGACTCAGAGAGGTTAAGCAATCTGCAGGCGGTAACACAGCGAGTTTGACGAAAGGTAGCTTGGCTCTGGCGCAGGGACAGGTGACACACTGGCTCCCCCGGCTTCTGCGGGTTCCCGCCCGCCGGCGTCTCACCTCCACGTCCTCATCCGCCCTCTGCCGGTTCTGCCGCACCACCTCCAGCTGCTGCTGGGCATGCTGCAGGGACCGGCTCTGCAGCGCCATCTCCTGCTGCAGCTCCTGCTTCTCCTGCTGCGCGCGCTCGATGTAGCGCTCCTGCTCCTCCTTCAGGTGCATCAGCTGCTTTAGCTTCTCCTCCTCCTCCTCTAGCAGTCTGCGGGAGCGCAGGGAGACCTCTCAGAGCCGTGGCGGGGTGTGGGGAGGACGGACACGGCACGCGGTCCGCGCGGGCGCCGGCGGGAAGGGGACCCCGTCCTGGTGCCTACCTGGTCTGTGCGAGGCGCACCGCCTCCTCGTCCCGCCTAGCTTTCACCTCCAGCTGCAGGGCTTCCTGCAGCCGCTCCTGCATCTCCTCCAGCTCCGCGATGCGCTGCCGTTGCCGGGCCGCCTCTTCCTTCTTCAACTCCATCTCCGCCTGCATAGAGGCCCGGGCCTGTGGGGAGCGCAGAGCCAGTCAGTGGGGCACCGGAGGAGACAGACAGGCTACTTCCCGCCTTTCCCAGGCTCTGCCCGGATGCGTGCATGGAGGGTCTTTAGTTGGACTTTCCTGATCTGATCCGTTCCGGTGCCTCAAATTATTGTTTCCTTGCACGGGCCTTAGAAATAACTAGACGTTTGCTGGGGCTGTAGCTCGGCGGCTGCGGGCTTGCCTAGTATTGTCCACAGCCCCTATGTTTGCCATCCAGCACCTCACACAAAACAGCACCGACTATAATTACATGTAATTAAACATCATAATGCGCTATATTATAATAAAACAACATATTAAATTAAGGTAATCCCTTCCTACCTCCTGCCCTAACAATTACAATATCATTATGCAGGGTGCCGGGGACTACAGTTATTACAACCAAAAGTTACTCAACTCTTTTTTATTTCAAAGTTTTTATTCACGCGCATGGGTGTTCTTGAAGCAAATGTGTCTGCACTACGTGTGAGCAGTGCCCACAGAGACCGGAAGAGAGTGTGGGACCCGCCGGCTGCTTCTAGCTGCCCTGTGGGTGCCGGGAGCCCGAGCTGGGTCTCTGCAAAAGCAGCCAGTGCTCTTAACTGCGGGGGCCATCACTCCAGCCCCGCTTGGTGCTTTGAGACAGGATCTCGGGAGGTCCCGGCTAGCCTCAAACTCTCTACACAGCAAGGATGACCTTGATCTTCCTGTCCCCACCTTCTCAGCGCCGAGATTACAGGCGCGAGACACCCTGCCTGGCTTCATCGAACTCCTTACAAGTATCACTTCTCTAAAGCGTCGTCCTAGCTCCATGAACGGAGTTCCAGTTCCGGATACAGAGAGACCCAGTGCGTGCTAGGCTCGCACAGGTCTTACGGTGGAGGTGTAATGGGCACACATGCCACAGCGTGCCTGCGGCGGTCAGCCGGCAACCTTGTGGAGCCGGTTTCCTCTGCCTATCTTTAGGGGGTTCCGGGAATAGAATCCAGGATGCTAGGCTTGTGCCGGAAGCGCCTAGTGCGATGGCCTAGCACTGAGTTTTCTCAAATGATGAATTCAACCGTTTCTGCACGTCGTTACTCTGCCCTCCTCACGCATCCTCCCTACTAACCTATAGTCCCCAAACTGGTTTTGTTAAAATCTAGTTCAAGTCTAGACCGACTTCGTTCCAAACTATTTGCAATCACCAGGTCTTTTTTTTTTTTTTTTTTTTTTTTTGGTTTTTCGAGACAGGGTTTCTCTGTATTGTTTTGGAGCCTGTCCTGGAACTCACTCTGTAGACCAGGCTGGTCTCGAACTCACAGTGATCCGCCTGTCTCTGCCTCCCGAGTGCTGGGATTAAAGGCGTGCGCCACCAACGCCCGGCGCAATCACCAGGTCTTAAGCAGCTTTTTCGGCCCAAGTCGTGGCCCCCGAAAAGATTTCTGAACTAGGTCCCATTCTACACCAGGGGTTTGCCCTAGGCGCTACACCCTATTACGGCCCCACCCCACCACCCTTTAGGTCACCCCCACATCTCCACCTTACGGGCTCCGCCCTTTGCCCAGGCCCCGCCTACAGCATCAAGCAGCCTCTGTTCGTCCATTGGCCTATGGGCTCCACCCACAGCATCCTCCAGACCGTAGGCTACACAGTGTACCCAGGCCTAGTCCCGGTCCCCTTCCTGTCACTCTCCCGTCATGACCCCGCCCTCTGCTTTAGCCCTGCCCCAAGTCCTCCCCGCCCCGCCCTCGGGACAGCCTCACCTGCTCCGCCTCCCGCAGCTGGCCCTCCAGAGCCTGCTGCAGCTCGCGGTGCTGGCTGCGGCGGCGCTCCTCCTCCTCCTGCAGCAGCCGCTCGGCCTGCCGTTGCGCCTCCTGCAGCAGCTCCAGCTCCTGCAGCTTCCTCTCCTTCTCCTCCTGCAGCTGCTGCAGCCGCAGCAGCTCCTCCTCCTTGGCTGCCCGGCGCCGCTCGCGCTGCTCCCTCTGCTCCCGCCGTTTCTGCTTCAGGTCCTTGTGCAGCGACGTCTTCCCCTCCGCCTGCAGCCGGATGGCCGTCTGGATGGCTACGGGCCGAGTGGGACCGAATCAGCCCGGGCCTAGGCCGCCAAGGGTCACTCGGACGAAGTGACCGAGGCCCAGCTAGGCCCAGGCTGGCACTCACCGGCCGTCCACTCCTGGCGCTGGCGCGTGTCTGAGGCGCTCATCTCGTACGTGCGGCTAGCTGTCTTCACACAAAACATGCAGCGCTTCCCTTCGCGGTCCTGAAGCACCTAGGAGAGGGGTGGATGGCCCAGGTCACATGACTTCACTGAGATGGGGGCCACATGTGCCCCAGCTCCAGCCCCCCCCCTCCTCCTGGCTGACCATCTGCTCTGGGGCCTTCCCCACCCTGCCAGGAGTTTGCAGGGTCTGCGGTGAATGGTTAGTTACCGGGTGCCTGTGTGCCCACGGTTCTGGTTTCTGTTCTTTGAAGGCTAGCTGGTGCCATTTTCATCTTGGAGTCTCTCCACAAGGTTTGGCACATGGTACATGCTTGAACTTGTGCCTGCGGCCTCACCACCTAAGCTACTGATTTCTACCTAGTCTCTCACGTGTTCTTCAAGGGTTGGGGCACTGGTGATCAGAGTTGTGCCTGGCGTCCCTGCATTTGCTAAGTTTGTGATCTGTGGGAAAACTGCAGCTGTCTGCAGTAGCGCTTTCTCCCTTTTTTGTTTTCAGGTTTTTTTTTTTGAGACAGGGTCTCACTATGTAGTCTGAGATGTCCTGTAACTTATTATGTAGACCAGGATGGCCTTGAACTCATGTAGTTCTTCTATCTCCCAGGGGCCAGGATAAAGGTGGGCACCACTATGTGCCCAGCTCTGCACTGGTGGTTTTTTGTTTTGTTGTTTGGTGTTTTTTTTTTAACATTTTCGATGACTTATTTATCTTTAGTTCATTGGTGTTTTCTGCATGTATGCCTGTGTGAAGGTGTCAGATCCCCTGGAACCAGAGTCACAGACAGTTGTGAGCTGCCATGGGGGAGCTGGGAATTGAACCTGGGTCCTCCGGAAGAGCAGCCAGTGCTCTCAACCACTGAGCCATCTCTCCAGCCCCTGGACTGGTGTTTTCTATGCAACATTTATCTTGAGTAACTGGTTATCCTTTTCTTGAGACAAGGTTTTGATATGTAGCCCAGGTTGGCCTCTACCTCCTGTCTTCCCTGCCTCAGCCTCCTGAATGCTGGGAGCCCTTAATAAATCGTTAATGTTAAAACCAACAAGCAAAGCTATAGAGAGACTGTAATACTTAGATCCCACTGGCCAGCATATCAGACGACACAACTGACAAAAAGAGCTGGCATTTCTTCAAAACTTAGAATTATCAGATGGCCCAGTGATCCTCCTATACATGTGTGTGCCAATGAGAAATGAAAACATATCCAATAGAAATACATCCCGTGCCAGGGGGCCGGACTGATGGCTCAGCAGTTAAGAGTGCTTGCTTACTGCTTATGCAGAGGATGTGGGTTCGGTTCCCAGAACTCACGCGGCAGCTCACAACTGTCATTAACTCTAGTCCCGGCAGACCTGACTCTTCGTTACCGCCCCAGGTTCTTGAACACAACTGGTGCATATACACACACTCAGGTACACATACACATAAAATTAAATGAAAAATAAGCATTTAAAAGCCCAGTGCCAGGCGGAGGCTACTTTTGGAGTTTTGGCCCACCAGGTCCCATAGATGGCCGCACATTACAGGCTGTTGGAATTACGATTCACAACTTGATCGTAAGACACTATTGCTGAAGGCACCAAATGCTTGAGTCTCAGAACGTGGCAAAACCAAGCTGGAAGTGTGAACTTGGAAGCTGTATCACTCCTGGCTAGTTTTCACAGTGCCGGAAGGTGTATGATACTGGAGAGAAGTCATCATCGACCATGCTCAGCTGTGACTCAGGCTCAGTCACAGTACTGACTGGTCTGGAAAGACGTGCCCACTGGTACTTCGGTGTCAGGAACATCGTGGGAGTAACCAGTCACTTTCTGATTACATCAAAGTCCTGCTTCACAGGATGAAACCTATACTTGACACCATTATTAGTGAGCTATCACTAAACAGGTCATAGGTCCTAGAGGAGAAACCCCTACGATTACACTGCTGGATGGACAGAGTATCAAACTATTCCTAAAGACGCATCAGCCCTAGACCAGTCGCATGCCTCATGTGAGAAGCCTCTGCTCACAGTAGATGGTGATAAACACCGTGATCCACGACCTTCCGAGTAAGAGATTGCACAATGCTCACCCCTAAGGGGAACGCACATACTGCAAACTCCCTCCCGAGTCTCAGGGTCATTATGAAAGACTGTCAGAGCCCGAGGCAACTCAAGGCTGCAAAGAAACGTTATCTTCTGGACACGGCAGGACAGCTGCAGCTACGAATTCACAGCAGTTTCAACACCACGGACAAAACCTGTGTGAGCCCAAGCCAGACCCAATCCAGCAAGGACAGGGGAGCCAGGCACACTATAGCAACCCAGGCAGGGTGCTAATGGCAACGGTCAGCTGTTGGGAGAGGAAGCCAGCTTTCTCTGAGAGTGTAGACCTTGCTAAGTCAACCATGCTCCAGAATCCAAGAATATTTGGACCACACAAATTGTCTTGAAAGATTAAAAAAAGATATAAAACTGGGTGTGTAGGGAAAGGGGAGGGGTGGACTGAGGAAGAGTTGGGGAATGGGAAGGGAAACATGAACAAAACAAGTTGTATGATGTTCTCAACTATCAACTGACCTCAGTTCAATCCCTAGAACTCATGTAGGAAGCTAGATGTGATGTCATAAAAACTGGGTATGACGGTACATGCTTTTTATTAGCACTGAGGAGGTGGAGACAGACAGATAATACCAGAGCGTGATGGCTACCAGCCTGCCCTACACGGCAAGATCCAAGCCAGTAAGAGACTCTGCCTTACCTTAAAAACAAACAAACAAACAAACTGAGATTGGGAGGGCTGGATGGTAGCTCAGTAAAGTGCTTATTGTGAAAGCACGAGTTCCTGAGTTCTAGCCCAGCACTAGGTTAAAAAGCCAGGCATCATGATACTATAATCCCAGTGCTTGGCCGGGTGGTGGTGGTGCACACCTTTAGTTCCAGCACTCGGGAGGCAGAGGCAGGTGGATCTCTGTGAGTTCGAGGCCAGCCTGGCCTACAGAACGAGTTCCAGGACAGCCAAAGCCACACAGAGAAAGCCTGTCTCGAATACACCCACAAAAATCCCTGTGCTAGGAGGCAGAGACAGGAGAGTCCCTGGATCTCTCTGCTGGCCAGCCTATCTGAACCAGTGAACTGCAGGTTTCAGTATGAGAGACTGCTGTGGAGTATTACTTTAACTGTGTAAAGGTGTGTTACATTTGTTTATATTGTGGAATATTACTTTAACTGTGTAAAGGTGTGTTACATTTATTTATGTTGGGGAATATTATTTTAACTGTGTAAAGGTGTATTACATTTGTTTATGCTGCATTTATTTAATGAGGTAAAGATGTGTTGATTTGTTTCACCTTGCCTGCCTAAGGTACTGGTCTAATAAAAAAGCAGAATGGCCAATAATCAGGCAGTAGAGGGATAGGCAGGGCTGGTGGGCAGAGAGAATAAGCAGGAGAAGGAATCCAGGCTGGGGAGAACAAGGGAGAAAGAGAGGGAGATGCTCAGAGCCAGCCATCCAGGCAGCTGCCTGCTAGACAGAGGAAGCAGGAAAAGTAGGACATACAGAATTAAAGGAAAAGGCCCGAGTCAAGACACAGATGAAGAGAAACAGGTTAAATTAAGTTATAAGAGCTAGTGGGACAAGAATAAAATAAGACTTTACATTCATTACTAATAAGTCTCTGTGTCTTTATTTGGGAGCTGGCTGGCGGCCCAGAGAAAGCTTGCTACAAGACTCTATCTCTAAAATCAGGTAGGTGGCTCCTGAAGAAATAACATCAAAGGATGGTTTCTAGACACACACACACCAAACAAACAAGGTGTATAGCTCCTGAGGAATGACACCTAGTTTAAACACTGGTTTCCATATACGTGTGCATGCACACCTACAAACACATGTGCATGTACACTCATGGGAACATGTATACACGTACACACACACACACACACACACACACACTATCCCAGTATTTGAGAAGCAGAAGAAGCAAGAGAATTAGGAATTCATACTCTTGACTATCTTGACTATATAAATAAGTTCAAGGTCATACTAGACTACAAGAAACCCTGTCTCACAGGAAGAAAAACTGGAAAGATTCGCTATGATGTGTAGATATGAATCATGTCCTCTGAAATCTCTAAGTTTAACAATCCACCAATGACTTCTGTGTCTGGTGGTGGTTTTAGTCGTTTTAAGGCGCTGATGCGGGGCTGGGATGGTGAACACCTGCCTACCATGCTAGAGACTCTGGGTTTGACCACTTACAAAGGGAAGAAAGTGCTGATGTGGGTGAGGACGGTTCAAGGCAGCCAGGTGTGTCTGAACTGTACTGACCTCAGCGGAACCATTACAGCGAGGTTCCTCTTCCCTCCACCCCTGTTCCTGACCCTTAGTCTACACACTGCCCTCACCTCCACACAGCACTGAGCGTCCAGAGGGATGGTGCCTCTCTTCTCCTTGCATTCTTCACTCCCAAAGTAGCAGAGGCAGCTGGGCTGCAGCTGGAACCAGCGCTCTGCCCAGTTCCTCCTCAGGTGCCCTCTCTTCCACAGATAGCCCTGTGGCCAGAGGCAAGTCAGAGCGGCCTCCTAGGTCTCCATCGCCCTCCCCATGATTCTAGGTCTCCATCACCCTTCCCATGATCCTCTAGGTCTCCACCACCCCCTCCCCATGATCCTCTAGGTCTCCATCATCCCTTCCCATGATCCTCTAGGTCTCCATCACCCTTCCCATGATCCTCTAGGTCTCCATCACCCTTCCCATGATCCTCTAGGTCTCCACCACCCCCTCCCCATGATCCTCTAGGTCTCCATCATCCCTTCCCATGATCCTCTAGGTCTCCACCACCCCCTCCCCATGATCCTCTAGGTCTCCATCACCCCTTCCAATGGTCCTCTAGATCTCCATCACCCTTCCCATGATCCTCTAGGTCTCCATCACCCCCTCCCCATGATCCTCTAGGTCTCCATCACCCCCTTCCCATGATCCTCTAGGTCTCCATCACCCCCTCCCCATGATCCTCTAGGTCTCCATCATCCCTTCCCATGATCCTCTAGGTCTCCATCACCCCCTCCCCATGATCCTCTAGGTCTCCATCACCCTCCCCATGATCCTCTAGGTCTCCATCACCCACTTCCCATGATCCTCTAGGTCTCCATCACCCCCTCCCCATGATCCTCTAGGTCTCCATCACCCCCTTCCCATGATCCTCTAGGTCTCCGTCACCCTCTCCCCATGATCCTCTAGGTCTCCATCACCCTCCCCATGATCCTCTAGGTCTCCATCATCCCTTCCCATGATCCTCTAGGTCTCCATCACCCCCTTCCCATGATCCTCTAGGTCTCCATCACCCTCTCCCCATGTTCCTCTAGGTCTCCATCACCCCTCCCAATGTTCCTCTAGGTCTCCATCACCCCCTCCTGATGGTTCTCTCAGGCTGACCTGCTTCAGGACATCTTGGATAAGTTCTTGGTAGACTTCTTGGATGGCCATGCTGAGGGACTCCCGACCCACACCCCGCAGGCAGCGGCCAGAGTTGAAGAGCTCTAGGAACTGCCAGACGCTGAGTCCCCCAGAGGTCTGGGCAGTTTGAGCCTCCTGAGCCAGCAGCTCCTCCAGCTCGCCCAAGCCCATCTCCAAACTCAGGCTGCCCAGAAGCTTCTTCAGCAGATACTCAACCTGGAGGGGAGAGGGAGGCCAGGTGACATCAGCAGCAAGGGCAAGGGACAAGGGCATGGTAAGGTCACACACAGGTGGAAGCCAGGAGAAAGATTTGAGCAGGAACCCCAGAACCCTAACCATACCCCCGGAAGCCCCCTCTTCCCCATCCTAAGTCCAGTTCCTTTCTTCCATAAAATAAAAGTAGGGTCATTCACAGGGGTGGTGGCATACACCTTTAATCCCAGGGCTCCAGAGACAGAGGCAGGTGAATCTCTGGGAGTTGGAGGCCAGCCTGGTCTACGGATCAAGTACCATGATAGCCAGGACAACAGAGAAAATCAATGTCTCAAAAAAACAAAAACAAAAAACAAACAACCCCCCCAAAAACAAAAAAGAACCCTTCTACCCAATGCCCTAAGCTTTGCCTATGGCAAAAATCAAGGGACAATGTGGAAAGTGACTTACTTCAAGTCACACTGCAAGTGGAGGCAGCCAGCACTCCATTTGGGTTTCTGGTTCCAAAGCCAAACCCCGGCCCTTAAGATCCTTCCCTTGCCGGAGATCAATAGAAGTAAGGCTGGAGGTTAGCCGGGCAGGCAGGAAACCCACGGCAGAGGAACAGGAAGTGGTGGTTGGGGGTATATCCTGCTACGGCTTGTTCTCACAGAAGACAGTCTTCCTACTCTCTGAGGGGCCACCTTGCCCTAACTGCAGGGATCGGATTAGAGTGTCCACACTGGCCCCAGCAGTCTTGAGAGACTCTCTTTAGGGCTGTCCCGCTGGGACCACTGGGTCTCCACTGGAGGTTTAGTAGGAGGAGGTAGGGACCAGACTCCAAGTCCAAGCTCTTCCCTATATCTTTGGAGTCTACTGGCTCTCCAGTTTAAAAGGAAGGAAGGAAGGAAGGAAGGAAGGAAGGAAGGAAGGAAGGAAGGAAGGAAGGAAGGAAAAGGAACCTTTTGAGGTCAAGGCCAGAATTGGTTGTCCACTTTCTGTAACCAGAGTTACTTCCTGTCCTCGAGAGGCCCCCCCTTTAACAAAGTACCTTCCTAGATTACCAGTGCATTTAAGAATCCCTTTGTTCGCCGGGCATTGGTGGCGCACGCCTTAAATCCCAGCACTCGGGAGGCAGAGGCAGGCGGATCTCTGTGAGTTCGAGGCCAGGCTGGACCGACAGCCTCCAAAACAATACAGAGAAACCCTGTCTCGTAAAAACCAAAAAAAAAAAAAAAAAAAAAAAAAAAAGAATCCCTCTGTTCAATCTGAATGCTCTCGTGTATCGTGTAAAACTCATCAGTGTGCCGGGCACTTATACTGATGCGGAACACAAGCTTTTGTGGCTCATGTTTCTCCTTACAGAAAACACCGATGGAAATGGAGTTTTGCTTCTCCTAGACGAAGGTATAGGTGACGCCATGTGGACAGTCCTCAGTATCCAAAGACAGCCTTGTCTTCCATCATGGCTTTGTCAGGGGGGCTTGGCCCTGAGTGATTTGATCCCTGGGTGTGAGGTCGCCCTTACCTCATCGGGAACCATGATCAGTGGGTACTTGTCCTCAGACAGGAAGTTGAAGAGGCACCAGAGACGGAAGGCGTCCTGATTGGAGAGCAGGCTGTTCCCATTGCTATCTGCCCGATAGTTCTTCTTGGCCGTCAGCGTCCAGCAGAGCTCATCGAAGTGCTCTTTAACGAAAGCCCCCCTCCTCCACCTGCCAGGAGGCCTGCAAGTCAGCCAGCTGCCCCATCCCTGCTGCAGCCTGGTCTCTTCCGTTCATCTAGAAACCCCACTCCCTGCCTCTGCCAAGCCCAAGACCAAATTCAAGCTAGTTCAGGCACCTTACCAGTAACTCCCGTTTTCTCCCCCTAATTTCCCCGGCAACAGTGACACTAGTCTCTCCGCCAAGGGAGAAAGGAGGGGAGCCCCAGGGGACAGCACAGACAAGGAGACCCTGCAAAGGCAGTGCGATGATCAGGGTGGGGGTCAGGGTGGGCTCTGGCAGGGAGACTAGGAATCTAAGATAGAGGGCAGGCTGTAGGGAATGGGTGACGGGGTGGGGAGCGGAGACGGGGCGGGGGGAGCAGGGATGAGCAGCGTGGACAGGAATGGGAGTTTACCGGGCGAGTGGAGAGACCGAGCAGAAAGCTAGGTGTTAGGGTTCTGGGGAAGGGACACGCCCACAAGCTAGGCCCCACCTTGTCTAGGATGTACTTGTTGAGGTAGGGCATGTAGCCTTGGCTGGACACGGGGCCATCGTCATCGTCCCGGAAGTGCTCCTCCAGGGCCACGGGGTCGTGGGGGATGTGCAGGACCGTGTACAGGTTGTGGGACAGCACCTTGGACAGAGCGACAGTTTGCGTTCCTGCACCCAGCCAGGCCTTGACCGCTTTGCCTGTTCCTTCATGCCCACCCTGCCTCGGCTGAGTCCTCTTAGGGCGCCACCCCGTGCCTCCAGTCATTAAATCATGCGTTAAGTCATTCACAACGCCCCCACCCCCACAGAGACTTCCATGTTCCCGGCCAACACGTGAAGAAATCTTCAGGTCCTACTCAGTTGGCAGAGCTGTGATTCAGATCTGCGAGATGGCCACCTTTCCCATTATTTTATTACCAGTTGGTGCTTTCTATAAAGCAGGACTCAGTGAGAGAAACAAATGGGAGCTTGGGGGCTGGAGAGGTGGCTCAGAGGTTAAGAGCACCGGCTACGGGCGTTGGTGGCGCACGCCTTTAATTCTAGCACTTGGGAGGCAGAGGCAGGCGGATCTCTGTGAGTTCGAGGCCAGCCTGGTCTACAAAGTGAGTTCCAGGACAGCCTCCAAAGCCACAGAGAAACCCTGTCTCGGAAAAAAAAAAAAAAACAGCACTGGCTGCTCTTCCAGAGGTCCTGAGTTCAATTCCCAGCAACCACATGGTGGCTCACAACCATCTATAATGAGATCTGGTGCCGTCTTCTGGCATGCTGGGATACATGGAGACAGGATGTTGTATTCATAATAAATAAATAAATCTTAAAAAAAAGAAAAAGGAAAAGATACAAATGGGAGCTTGGGATTCCAAGCCTGTGTGGCAAGATTCTAAAGCCCAGGTGCTTCTTCCCACAAATGCTAGGCTACCTGCAGGGACACACATTCCATTGACTTGATCATTTCTAATGGAAGATCCAGCATTCAGGCTGCCATGCACACCCAGCTGAGTCTGAGCGAGGGAGCTATGGAGGGCTCAAAGAATGCTCTCGAGAAATGGCTAAGGAGATGGAGAAATGAGACCGATGGTAGCCGAGTGGCCAGGATGGTGCGTGGGGGCGGGCACTGGCTGAGCAGACTCATGACGCTAAAACGAGGGGCTGAAGCTAGACCAAGAAGAGAAGGGGAGGCGCGGCCCCGGGGAAATTCTGTTCCACTGCTTAATCACAGACGGTGCGAGTGTTTAAAAATAACCGCCTACTCAGCACAATTTCAATGCCAGCACTCAGGAGACAGAGGGGGGTGAATCTCTGTGAGTTCCAGCCCATCCTGGCCTACACAGAGAGTTCTAGGTCAGCCACAGATACACAGTGAGACCCTGTCTCATGGGGGGGCACTGCTGTATACCTGTCACCCTCTATGTACCCGTCACTGTATAAAGTGACTTAAAATTTCTTATTACATTTATTCATCATGTGTGGCCAGGGCAGAGCTTTAACCAAGCTGTCATGTGGAGGTCAGAGGGCAGCTTTAAGGATCCGGTTCTCTCCTCCCACCATGTTGGAGACGTTGACAGGCTCGTTAGTAAATATCTGTATCCAGAGGTCATGTCTTCAGCCCCAGTTGCTTTTTTAATTAAAAGAAAAAGGATTTAAATTTCAACAATGTGCCAGGCTGTGGTGGCTCACACCTTTAATCCCAGCACTAGGGAGATAGGTGGAACTCTGTGAGTTCAAGGCCAGTCTGGTCTACAGAGTGAGTTCCAGGACAGACAGAGCTACACAGAGAAACCCTGTCTCAAAAAACAACAACAAAAAACCACCACTACCATCACCACCACCAAAAACCAACAACAACAAATCCTGCCACCATGGTGAGAATTAGTATCTGTGTATGTCTCATGTAGCCAAGGCTGGTCTTGAGCTCACTATGTAACCAAAGATAACCTTGAACTCATGATCCTTCTGTCTCCACGGTCCAAGGCTGAGAATACAGATGTGTGCTGCCATAATTGGCTAAATTAGGCATCTTTGTGGTATTCAAGAATCTATCAGCTTAAAATTGGATGTGGGCAGCCGGGTGTTGGTGGTGCACGCCTTTAATCCCAGCACTCGGGAGGCAGAGACAGGTGGATCTCTGAGTTCGAGACCAGCCTGGTCTACAAGAGCTAGTTCTAGGACAGCCTCCAAAGCCACAGAGAAACCCTGCCTCAAAAAAACCAAATAAGTAAATAAGTAAACAGCCTCCAAAGCCACAGAGAAACCCTGCCTTGAAAAATCAAATAGATAAATAAGTAAATAAATAGGATGTGGGCTGGAGAGATGGTTCAGCGGTTAAGAGCACTGGCTGCTCTTCCAGAGGACCTGAGCTCAGTGCAAGGGATCCACACCAGACAGCTCACAGCTGCATGTAATTCAGGAGGTCTGACAGCCTCTTCTGGACTCTGAGGGTACCCATGTGTGTGTGTACACACACACACTACCACCACCACCAACAAAAAAAATTAATATTCTAAATTGGATGTGGCCTTTAACTCAGCATTTTTTGTTTTATACTTTGTTTTCATCTAATGCAGATTTATTTTACCTTAAGTTATGTGCTGTGTGTGTGCCTATGTGTGAGTATGTGCTCACAAGTGTGTGCTCACAAGTGTGTGTGCTCACAAGTGTGAGTTACAGGCTGTGAGCATCTGACGTGGGTGCTGCGAGTCAACCTCGGGTCTTCTGTAAGAGCAGTGTAAGCTCTCTAGGTCTTAATGTCTCTTTAAAGTTAAAAAAAGATTTAAAAACAATTTTATTTCGCCTGCATCTGTCTATGCACCACGTGCATGCTGTGCCCGAAGAAGCCAGAGAGGGCGTCAGATTCCCTGGAGCTGGAGTTACAGACAGTTGTGAGTTACGGCGTAGGTTCTGGGAGCCAAACCCTAGACTTCTGGAGAGAGCAGTTAGTTCCCTTAACAGCTAAGCCACCCTTAAGGAGTGTGTGTGTGTGTGTGCGCGCGTGTGTGTGTGTTTTGGATAGTGGGTTTCTCTGTGTAGCCCTGACCATTCTGGAACTCACTCTGTAGACCAGGCTTGCCTCTAACTCAGAGACCCACCTGCCTCTGTCTTCTGAGTGCTAGGATTAAAGTGTGTGCCACCACCACCAGGCCCATCCATCCATCCATCCATCCAGCCAGCCAGCCAGCCAGCCAGCCATCCATCCAGCCATCCATCCAGCCATCCAGCCATCCATCCAGCCATCCATCCATCCATCCATCCATCCATCCATCCATCCATCCATCCAGCCATCCATCCATCCATCCAGCCAGCCATCCATCCATCCATCCATCCATCCATCCAGCCAGCCATCCATCCATCCATCCAGCCATCCATCCATCCAGCCATCCAGCCATCCATCTAGCCATCCAGCCATCCAGCCATTTATTTATTTATGTGTGTGTGTGGGTACACACTTCACAGCTCTCAGGAATCACTTAGACATTCAACATAGATCAGCTGAGCTCTGAGGAAAGGTTTTGGCTTAAGAGTTCTTGTCCTTGAGGACTGGGTGACACCCAGAAATACACAAACAGGGACAACACATGACTATTTCAGGAACCAACTTAATAACTGGGCAGAGTAATAACAGTGGTTAGTGTGCACCTTGTTTTTAAATCTGTTATTTTAACAGCGCTCAGAGCTCAGAGAACAGCTTATGGGGAGTCAGGTCTCTCCTTCCAAGGTGGGTGCTGGGAATCAACCTCGGGACGCCGGGCTTGGCAGCAGGTGCCTTCACCTGCTGAGCCTTCCCACCAGCCTACCGGTGTGTTGATGTTGCTGTTTAAGTCCGGAGCATATATTGCCTTTATGACAAAAAAGTGGAGGGAGCCTTTGTGACAGGGTCCCACTCTGCAGCCTGGGCTGGCCTTCCAATCCTTCTACCTTAGGTTGACACCATCTTGCCTGTTTATAAAACTACAGTCACAGAGAATCGTGAGCCAACCATGCGGGACCTCTACAAGAGCAGCCAGTGCTCTTAACCACTGAGCCATCCCTCCAGCCCATTCTTGTTTTGTTTTGAGACAGGTATTCTGGGCTGGCCTCAAACCCATTCTGTATGACCTTGAACTCCTGATCCCCTGCTTGTCGTGATTACATGTGTTCTCTACTGTGCCCAGTAGTTTAGGCAGTGCTGGAGACCCAACCCAGGGCCCCATGCACACTAGCTAAGCCCTCTTGTCAGCGAGGCTGCGTCTCCGGGCCTGCTCCCTTCCTTGGCGCAGCCCGTCTGCAGTGGGGGTCCTCATCTGTGAGTGAATCTGCGGACCCCAGCCTCGGGCGGGCAGGACGGTTGTCAGGAGGCGGCGGTGCTGGGGCCTCCACACAGAGAGGCTGACCTCAGACTACTAGACTGGGTTGGGGTGAGGGGCGGGAAAGGAAGCCGCAGGGGTGGGGCACTGTTGAGCAGGTGCTCACTGCAGCAGATCTCAATCAGCCCTGGCCAGGAGGTATCCTCCACTCACAGGTGAGGAAATGGAGGAAGTGTCTTGCCCAGGGTCTATCTCCGAGGCCCCCTCTGGGTCTCCACTGGAGCTGGTGAAACTGAAAGGTCTAACCTTGCCCTGCCCTACTGACTCAGAGTTTCCAGTGGTGGGGTCTAGGTGTCTATTTTCCGTATGCTGACATCTGGACTCCCTCAGAGGACACCTACAATCCCCCACTGGCCCCTCCGCCCCTGACCTCAGGGTGAGCAGGCCTGGGCCTAGAAGGTTCTGTGTGTTCACTCTTCCCTCTGCAGGTGTGGTGTAGAGCTTTTCTCCCTGGGGACTGGGGTCCAGGGTCCAGGGAGAGGTTGGCAGTCATGTCTACACTGACCACAAGAATTCGGAAGGGCTGGCTCTGCAGTCCCAAGCCTTCAGATACCAGACCCCTGTCTAACAGGGAGGCGTCAGAGGTGCACATAGGGTAAGAGTCCTTAAAAGCAGCAGGCAGTGACCTCATGAAGCATGAGTTATCTCTCCCACACAAACTGCTTTAAAAAAAAACTTTTCCTTTTTATTTGTTTGGTTTGCTTTTTTGAGAAAGAAGCTCACATTGTAGCCCAGGCTGAACCCAAATTCTCCTCAACTCCCGTGCCTCAGCCCCCCTGAGTGCCGGGATCTGAGGTGTGACCTCTGTGTAGCTTCTAGATCATCCTTCTAAGAGACACAGCCAGGCATGGTGGCACATACCGTTAGTCCCAGCACTCGGGGGAGGCAGCGGCAGAAGACTCTCTGTGAATTTGAGGTCAGCCTGGGCTACACCGAGTGCTAGGATTAAAGGTAAGATCCTATGACAAGGCTCAGCAGATAAAAGTGCTTGCCCCAGGCCAGACAACCTGAGCTCAATGCCTGGGACCCACCTGGTGGAAGGGACCCAACCTGCCAAGCTGTCCTCTGACCTCCATACGCATACTGTGGTTCACCCCCTCCCCCACACACAGACACAGGAGTAAATGCAGTAGGAGTTAAATAAATAGATAAGTAAGTAAAAGGGTTCCCAGAGGAAATTCCCCAAACAGCTTCCTTCTACTCTCCAGGGAAAACAAAACAGTCACTCTCCGTCCTTTGGGCTTGTTTACTTATTGGTTTTTTGTTTTGTTTTGTTTTTTTGAGACTCTCTGGGGTATCCTGCTTTAACCCCAGTGCTGGGATCACAGGTGTGTGCTGCCACATCCAACCCCTTGGGCTTTTCTCTGCCCTTCCTCCTCCTCTTCCTCCTCCTCCTCCTCCTCCTCCTCTGGCCTCAGTGGGATGTACCCAGGCTAGCCAAGGCAGCTCTCTATGAACACTTGGGGGGGTGGGAGAGGTGAGGCCAGGGCCAGCCTCCCAACTGCCCCCCAGAGAGTGCACAAAGGCTAGGAACCCTGTTAATCAGCGGCTCACCCTGGGCCTCCCTCCATCCCGTTTACAGAAGTCAGGGTGTACCCTGCTGCAGTATCTACCGTTTACAGAAGTCAGGGTGTACCCTGCTGCAGTATCTGCCGCTCACAGAAGTCAGGGTGTACCCGGCTGCAGTATCTATCTGCCGCTCACAGAAGTCAGGGTGTACCGGCTGCAGCATCTGCCGTTTATAGAAGTCAGGGTGTACCCTGCTGCAGTATCTGCCGCTCACAGAAGTCAGGGTGTACCCTGCTGCAGTATCTGCCGCTCACAGAAGTCAGGGTGTACCCTGCTGCAGTATCTGCCGCTCACAGAAGTCAGGGTGTACCCGGCTGCAGTAGCTGCCGTTCACAGAAGTCAGGATGTACCCTGCTGCAGTATCTGCCGCTCACAGAAGTCAGGGTGTACCCTGCTGCAGTAGCTGCCGCTCACAGAAGTCAGGGTGTACCCTGCTGCAGTATCTATCTGCCGCTCACAGAAGTCAGGGTGTACCCTGCTGCAGTATCTATCTGCCGCTCACAGAAGTCAGGGTGTACCGGCTGCAGCATCTGCCGTTTACAGAAGTCAGGGTGTACCCGGCTGCAGCATCTGCCGCTCAGCTCAGCCTCTTCCCATCTTCTGACCACTTCTCCATTCCTCCTCTGCCTCTGCCCCGCCTCCGTTGCTGTCCCCACTTCCTCCCAGTGTAGCATCCGTCACCAAGGGCCTGGGGGAAGCCCTCTCCTCCTGGGCAGGGACCCTGCCATTTCTGTCTCATCTCCTTGTGGCCTGAGGCTCTGGGGATTAGTTTGAGAGTGGACAAGTTTCCTGTCGGGCAGGTGTGACACTCACTGTTAATCCTGTGTGGCCAGAGATGTCACTACAAGTGGGCTCCGTTTGAGCTCACTTTCAGACTCTTCCCCAGAAATACTCAACCTGTGGGTGTTGCTCGGGGAGTGGGAACGGGGTCAGTCAGTCAGAAGCTAACACAGAGAGAGCTCTAGTTGGGAGACCTGCCTGGCAGATGCCACCAGAAAATGGGAACTAATCTAGCGATGCGCCCTTAGCATGTAAGGCACAGAGAGAGCCTGGAGAGGTGCCAAAGGTCGTAGAGGTGGAACATACCATCTTGGGAGCAAGAAGCCATGTGGCGGGGTACTAAAGAGACTGGGTGGGAAGAAGGTGGGTGGGGCCCAGCTCTGCAGAACTGGTGTTCAGATGATCCAGTTTCCCTTCTTGGGCAGAACTCAACTGGATGCCATGAGTCGGACTTACACAGGGTGGAAGGAATAACCTGCCTCCCGAGGGGACCAGAGGTGGCACTGGTCTACTTCCTGGGGAAGCAGAGCATTAGTCATTAGGTGCTCACAAATCCATCTAAGGGACAGACAGGAAAGGACTAAATTGGAGCTTGTAAGTCCATAGGACCCAGCTTCAGCTATGTCAGGGTTGAGATGGGGAGGGGACATGTCTATTCTGTCCCATTTGCCTCCCAGGTTTCCCGTCTTGGTCATGGAGGTCTTTTGAGGGGGACGTGGCCAGACGGAGAGACAGCCTAGCCTCACATTGGCTCCTCACAGGGCCTTGTGGGCCACAGTTTCGTGTGGGACACTGAAGTGTTTGCAGAGAGTGGGTGGGTCCCCAGGCAGGGTCTGAGAGTGGAGCTGCTTTGAAGTTCTCCCCTGCACACAGCAGCCCAGGCCTTTGTGTCTCCCCCAGAAGGAAGCCGCCTACCCAGGAAGGAGAGAGCTACTCCGTTTCCCTGGCACTGGCCAGACCGGATGGTTTTAAGGCGACAGGGGTGGTCACTGATGGGGTTTTCCTGGGCCTGGCTTCCCCCCCACTCTCAGCCTGAAGTCTCAAGGCATAAGGCAAATTTCCCAACCTGATGTTCCTGTGCTGGTAGGTGGAGCAGGACGGTGAGCTGTGTAGCAACACGGTGGAGACTTTGGCCCCACATACTTGGGCTGGCCCACATACTGTTTCAGTAGCCAGCTTGCTTCACAAATGGAGGAGGCTCCAAAGGAAGTGACTGGCAAGCTCCAACTAACTGTCTTTCCTCAGAGCCACGAGGGAGGCTCAGGGAGGAGCAGGGTGCGTGTCCAAGCATGACTCCAGGGAGCCCACAAGAAACCTGGGAAGGGGGCAGGCCGCGGAATCCCGGAACCCCATGGTGCCACCTCAGCTGTCCAGTCAGGGCATTTGGTTCTGGACGGTGACTGTGGTGACACGTGCCTGGGGGCCTCTGGGAAGCAACCACTGAGCTATGCTGGCTCTGTTACCTACCCTGTGCCAGCACTCCGCCAGGGCCCGGGCTGCTGGATGGCAAGGTGCCTGCCAAGTAGCCAAGGCTTCCACGTCTGATTCTCGGTGGATGGGAGGGAACTGGAAAAGCGACCGTGCCTCCCCTAGACCCCGAGGACGCCCCTCACCTTGAGTTGGGACTTGGAGACCTTGCCGCTCTTCTCCACGTCCAGCGCGGTGAAGGCGTACCAGATGGACTTGAGCAGCTCCTTGCGCAGGGCCATGGCTGAGGCGCCCGCCCCGGCGCAGGGGCGGCTCTGACACCAAGATCCGGTTTCAGGAAATGCAAACGGCTGCAACCGCAGAGAGGCCCTGGCGCAGAACGGAGCGAGAGCTCCACCTGCCTGCTCCCTCTGCCTTGCAAGGCTGACTTGTTGCTCTGGCGCTGCCCTGCTGTCCCACTGAGCTTCCCGAGCCAGAGCCCTGGCTCCTTCACCAGTTTGCCACGTTAGAAGCTTTCTTGCCCAGGACCTTCCCAGACTCCCAGCCGTGGCTCAAGGAGACAGCAGGGCGACCCTGACTTGGGAGGAGCCAGGGTCAAGCTCACCAGGTGGGGAGAGAGAGCAGAGTTAACCTGAGTCTGCTCCTAGTCAGACACCATGTCCTCACCTCACAGAGCTGTGAAGACCACAGACAGCTGGCTTGGGACAGGACTCTTCTCTGGATGCCACCTAGCGGGATCTCAATGAGGAGCTCTATGCAGGCAGGAGAAACCCGACTGGAGGGGGGGGGGTGACAGGTGCCTCCCCAGGACAGGGCGGCTTGGCACCTGGGCTCTGCTTCCCCTGCCCTGGGCCTTGGCCCTGAAAGAAACTCGGAACACTGCCCACTGCACCTGGTGGCCTTGAAGACACCAGAGCCTGGATGTGAAGCTCACAGGGCAACCTTAACAGCGGGGTCACCTGAGAGGTCCTGGCAGGGCAGCCCAGGGGCAGGTCTCCACATGGCTAGACGCCACGCCCCCCTGGGATTGGGATGCACCCACATCATGGTTAGATTTCGATGGAGCCTTGTTGAGGCTAATTCTGGGTCACCCCATGCCCAGCCTCTCTACGTCCATAGGGCTGGTGTCCAGAGTAAAAGGAGTTCTGAAACTCAGGGATAAGTTTGGGGCCACCCAGGCTATGAAGCACGATTCTGTTTCAAACACAAACTAACAAAAGCCCCCAAAACAGCAAAGAGCAAATGTGAGCCTTCCAGGTACCCCAGGAGAGGATGCACGTGGTCCTGGGTGCTCTGCTTCATCCTCAGAGCACAGGAAGGGGCTGGGCCCAGTACAGCATCACAGAAGAGAGAGGAAGAGGCGGCCCAGGTCCTAGGCACTCCCACACAGCTGTATCCGCCCTACAAGTGCCCCCAGGAAGTGCCCGAATCTGTCCTGCTGTGGCTGCTCTGTCTGTTGCTCCAACCCAGTCTTCAGCGGGTCATCTGTGCCTTTGCAATCCCACAGCATGGGCTTCGATGTCCTGTCCCCTAACTGGGTGACAGACCTAGGATGTCCGTGCTACAGCAGTGAGCATTAGAACCTCAGTAACCCTGGAGAGGGTCTCTCAGCTGGGGCTGTGTGTGTGGTGGCTGGGGAGGGAAGTGCTCAGGCTCCGTGCAATGGCAGAAAGACAGGAGACCCAGAGTTCAGTCAGGGCCTGGGAGCAGCAGCCAGGGTTCACCCCCTGGGCCCACAGAGAAGGCTAGACAGGATCGTTCTAGAGAAGCAGACTGGAGCCCAGGGAGTCCTGCCACCAGGACCCAGTCCTGAATGATGGAGGAACCCAGGTGGAAACTTGCAACTTTTATTAAATACTCATTCACCCGTTTACCGCCACCACCCAGAGCAGGAAAAAAATAATTATCAAAATAGAATTAAAAAACCAAACCACAAAAACAAATTAAGCCCAACCCCTAGCAGTCTAGGTGCAGGCCACGCTCTTGTTTCTCTGCCGGACAGAGTGAAGAGCCACTGGGGAGCTGTGGCCTGGGAACCTACTCCAGCCACAGGCCCCTGAGGAATTAATTCTGACTGTGGTGGCAGGAAGTTCCTGGTGCCAAGTGGCGAGGCATCTTGGCCACCCTACCCCCTGGAGGTGGTTATTGCTGGGAGGCGCTGAGCTGAAGAGTTGTCTACCTCCCCCGACGGCAGACCAGTCAGGGTGGAGGTCAGTCGGCGTCCACCTAGTCCCCATCTCTCTGAGAAAGGGAGTGGACAGAAGTGAGTGTTCCCCAAGGGAGGGGAGCGGTGTCCAGGGCAGCCTGGTGACCATGCGGCTGTCCTCGGCCCCCACTGTGCTGCCTGACCCTCATCTTGGGTGTGGCCCACAGCCCTTTCCATTAGAGGCCATTTTCCTGCTGCCTTCTCACTCCAGAGGCCTCTGCGGTCCTCCTATTGGGGTCAGCCGCAGCCAGGGTTCCCAGAGGCAAGGCTGCCTGTGAGCATGGCGCCTTCTCCAGCAACGCGTGTGGGAGCGATCCCCGTGGCTCAACAGCCGCTCTCTGACACTGTGGTTTCAAGGGTCACGGCCCCTTGCTGCATGGCAGCAGTGGCTACGCTTATGGCCTCCTCCAGGGTCTGCTGCTCCTCCAGCTGTGGAAAGGTAAGCAGGGAGGAGCGTGAGGCCTTTCCTTCCAGACCCCAACACAGAGAGGCATGTATGATCCACTTGCTCTCCCTCAGTAGGGCTGGCTCCAATACAGGCAACTCCCCGATAAAGAGTCCTATTAGGCAGTCTGGGCACACCACAGGCTGCCTCAAGGTCAGAGACACCACACAGCTCATTGAAGAGTAACTGACCAGGTGGTGGTGGCGCACACCTTTAATCCCAGCACATAGGAGGCAGAGGCAGACAGATCTCTGTGAGTTCGAGGCCAGCCTGGTCTACAGAGTGACTTTCAAGAGAGCCAAGGCCACACAGAGAAACCCTGTCTCTAAGCACCAATCAAACAAACAAACAAGGATAGCTGGCTAGAAAGGTCCTTGGAGAGGATGTGCTCCAGACTCATCTCCTGGGTGAAGAGAAAGGCTCAGGAAGATAAGGGCTTGGACCACAGTTCTCTGCCTCAGTCGCCCCAAGGCAAGGACGCCCCAGTCTCCCTCCGTCAGATGTTGGCTCTCCTCCGCCACACCTGCACCCCCCGGCCCCCCTTCACTGCCCTCTGTGGTCGGAATCCCCCTTCCTCTCTTCTACCCACCTGCACTGCGATGTGGGTTCCGTTGGCCGTGGCCAACAGCGCCACCTGTTGATGATGAAGAGATGCCACAGTTGAGTCCTCAGTTACCAAGGCCCCAGAGGTAATGATTGTGACCTGAAAACACAGACGCAGAAAGACCTTTTACCTACCTGCAGCACCTCCCTGTCCCCATGCAAGTAAAAATATTCCCAATGGAGAAAGCCGGTATGGGTCAGATTAAGTAGCTGGGCCTCAGGATTTAACAAGGTTAGATTCCCTTCACTCTGCAGGGTTTTCTTGGGAGTTGGCAAGTCGTGGTGGCACTGGAGACAGAACCCGGCAAACACCGAGGCTCAGCCTAGTCCTTTACGTTGCTGCACGTCTGAGACAGGGCCTCACTCAGTTTTTCACACTGGCCCCGAGCTGTCTCAGGGTCTCAGCTGTAGGCCACCACGCCTGTCCTGTCTTACACACTGTCTGGAGATGCCGGTTCTAAAGATGAAGGTTGCTGAGGTACTTTCTTTTCTTTTCTTTGGAGACAGGGTCTCTCTGTGGTCCTGGCTGTCCTGGAAATCGCTATATAGATGAGGCTGACCTCAGACTCACAGAGATCCGCCTGCCTTTGCCTCCCGAATAGTGCTGGGATTAAAGGTGTGCACCACACCTAGCCTTTGAGGGGCGATTGTAAATTTGTTTTTGTTCTGGGAATTGAACCTAGGACTTCACAGCCTGACAGGAACCCTACTACTGAGCTGTCCCCACACGTTTTCCACTCTTCAGCTTGAGACAGGTCTCACTGATTGTCCAGACTGACGTTACTCTTGTGAGCTTGCTGTCTCCCAGGTGGTTACAATTACAGGTCTACACCACTAGGTCTGGCAGGGAGATGTTTATGGGATCTTTCTCTCGTGAAGTGTTCTGATTGTTTGGACTGCATGTTTAATGCCCCCCATGGGAAGGGACCCTGAGAACAAGCAACTGCCTGGTCATACGGGCTGAGTCTGGGCGCCGTCGGCGCTGACCATGGTGACCGTGTGTGTGCCGGATGTGGCCAGTTCATCATGATGACTGGGGATGGAGAGCGCAGCGCTGCCATGCTGCGTCACCACGCTGATGGCACTCCCCAGGGCCTGCAGGTCTTCCGGGGACAGGCTGACCTGGTGACAGGAGGGGGATGAGCTGCAGCGTCAGAGGACAGTCACCACACCCACAGGATGCCCGCCTGCTGTCCTGGACGCCTGACTTTCAGTAAGTCACGCCAGCTCCAGGTCACAGGGGTGAGAGCTTGCTGGGGGGGCATCTCACGCAACAGGGCCATGCTTGCAGAGGGAAACACTAAGGCACTCACTGACACTTGTACTGCTCACTACTTTGCCTCTGTAACCCTGCAAGCAGGCCGGGGCCTCCACCTAGCTCATCTTCCTGCTCACTCTGGAAGCAAGAGGCACGCTAGACGATGATATACGGCCAAGGGGCAGGACACTCTGCAGCCAGCAACCCTGCAGACTTCCAGCTTCAAGACCCACGCACTGACATGACCCTCTTGAGGACATGCATGTCACCCACATGAGGGGCCCCCATCTCAGAGAAGGAAACGAGACCGGGAGGAGCAGGTGACACACTGGGCCCTTAGTTAGCCTTAGCTCTTTGAAGTCCATAAAGGCAAAATGGGAGCCTGGGTGGAGGTGAGGCTGGGCACTTCAGGGCTCCCAGAGTCCCCAGACTGGGAGAAGCCATTCTGAAACCGCCCCATCTATCCCAGGGTCTCTACCTGCTGGGCACCATCCTGAGTGATCAGAGCCACCTGGGGGGCCCCATCTTCCTCGGTCACCATGGCTACGTGGGTTGGGATGTCACTGCTGTCTTCCTTCACCTCCGAAAGGTAAGCAATGTGGGCTCGTTTGGTTGGCGGGCTTTCCTCAGCAGCAGAGGCAGCTAGGAGAGGAGGGCCGGGGCTGTCACCTGCTGCCCGAGGCCAGCAGAGCCCTGTGGCCGCCCCCCACTCTCTGCCCCCTCACCCTGCAGCTGCTGCTGCTCATACAGGGCCTGCTCACTCTCCTCCGTGGCCTCCAGCTCCCCGTGCGCGCTTCGCTTGTGCATGGCGAGGGTGGAGGTCTGCCGGTAGGTCTTGCCGCAGCTGCTGCACGTATAGGGCTTGCAGTGCGTGTGCACCACGTGGTGCTTGTACAGGCTCGAGTATTCAGTGAAGCGCTTCCCACAGCCTGGCACCGTGCACACATATGGCTTCTCCCCTGGGGACACTGGGCTGTGAGGGGGACTGGGGCTGGCAAGGGGAAAGCTAAGGGGATAGGGTTGGGGGCAGGGCTGGTGACGGGAAAGTCAGGGAAAGGACAGGAGCTGGAGAGGGCGTGAGGGCATGAGGGCGGGACCCTGCACCCAGAGACAAGGTAGAGAGAGCAAGGCCAACTTAGAGAAGGGGTGAGGTGGGCGCTGTGATGCTGGGTGAGGGGCTGAGGGTTGCGAACAGAGGAGAGACAGCGGGACGAGAATGGAGTGTCAGGCTGGACGGGAGAGACGGTGGGGAAACGGTGGAAACCTGGGCGGGGTGTGACACCGGGAGGGGGAGGACAGAGTCCTGTGCACAGCAGACGCTTGGAGAGGACCAGGTGGATTCTTCCAGACCATGCCTGAACATGGCCTCCTTCAAGAGCTCAGTGGATAGGGAAATCTCAGACAGGTGTGGGAATGTGGCTAGGACCTTTCCAAGTCCACAGAAGGTGGGGGCAAGACCTGTCAGACTGAGCCCAGTGGGGGACCTGCTCACGGGAGGTGACAGTCACCTGGGGGACCCACCCTAACCCAGCCCCAGTGGCTGGCAGAGAAGGAAGGGCTGGGGCTGAGAGGTGGTGTCCCGAACCAGAAGCTAGGAAAGAGGGAGGTGGGGCCTGGGAGAGGGAGGTGGGGCCTGGAGAGGGAGGTGGGGCCTGGAGAGGGAGGTGGGGCCTGGAGAGGGAGGTGGGGCCTGGGAGAGGGAGGTGGGGCCTGGAGAGGGAGGTGGGGCCTGGGAGAGGGAGGTGGGGCCTGGAGAGGGAGGTGGGGCCTGGGAGAGGGAGGTGGGGCCTGGGAGAGGGAGGTGGGGCCTGGAGAGGGAGGTGGGGCCTGGGAGAGAGAGGTGGGGCCTGGGAGAGGGAGGTGGGGCCTGGGAGAGGGAGGTGGGGCCTGGGAGAGGGAGGTGGGGCTGGGAGAGAGAGGTGGGGCCTGGGAGAGGGAGGTGGGGCCTGGGAGAGGGAGGTGGGGCTGGGAGAGGGAGGTCCTCACACGGCAGCCGGCCCACCTGTATGGATGCGCACGTGATTCTTGTAGTTGGTGGCGCTGGTGAAGCCACGGCCACAGTGGGGCTCGGGGCAGGTGTAGGGCCGCTCGCCTGTGTGGGTGCGCACGTGTACCTTGCGGATATTTGATGTGGTGAAGGAGCGGCCACAGCCTTCAAAAGGGCACCGGAACGGGCGTTCACCTGTGAGACGGGGTTAAAGGGAGGGCTCAGGAGGACCAGGGCTCCGCTGGCCCCGGGCTCTGGGACTCAGTGTGAAAAACATGAAGCCCTGGCCTCTGTGAATGGGGGCAGGGCTCAGCCTACCTGTGTGGGTTCGGACGTGCTTCTGCAGGTCTCCTGAGGTCTTGAAGGCTTTGCTGCACAGCTCCTCTGGGCACTTGTATGGTTTCTCACCCGTGTGAGTACGAACATGACTCTTTAGCCCATAGCCTATCCGTGTGTGGTGGGATTAAGAAGAGCAGCCAGCGGAACCTCATCCCTATGTTATTTAGAGGCTCTCTATCTAAAGCGATCTTCTGGGAGGCTCCAGAGGCCCAGGCCAGCCTCTGTCCCATCCTGCCCAGAAAAAAGCCCACTGTGTCTGTCCTGTGACACTTCTCAAGGCTGGATAGAGACATTCCAGAACATGAAATGCTGAGGGAGCCTGGAGAAGCAGGACCTAAGGGTCCTTGTTTCACAGAGGAAACAATGTCAGAGAGGTCACAGCCCTCAGTACCCACAGTTAGTGCTGCCAGAGTGGGCACAAGGGGCACGCCTCTCTACCTGAGCCCGGCCTGTCCTGCAGGCCCAGCCCCCACAGCTTCTCCCTGGCAGCAGGTTCTCCAGAGAGCACACACCTCAGGGGTGTCTCGGGAACAGCAATCTGAGCTTGGCCACCTTTGAGGGGCTCCGAGTGGATCTAGAGCCCTTTGCCCTCACCTGGAAGTAGAGCTTCCCCCACCCAGGCATGTTACCTGTGGCAAAGGCCTTTCCACAGCTGGGGAAGTCACACCTGTATGGACGGTCACCCGTGTGAGCTCGTTCATGTACCTGTGAGGAAAACAAACCCGTAACTCTGGGATGGGGGATGGGTTCAGCTCTTTGGTTCTCCTCCCTCCTCACTATCTGTGTCCCAGCTTCCTCTGCAGACACTCTGTGGACGGACTCTTCCCTCCAGCAAACGTGAGGGTGGGGCCCGGGCAATGCCGGGTACAATCACAGCCTTCCAGGGGAGAGGACCAGACTGAAAGCTGCCCATCAGCCCTTACCTTTAAGTGATGGGCGGTGGTGTAGAGACGTCCACAACCCTTGTAGCCACAACGGAAAGCTCTGTCTCCCACCTGCTGCCCTTTGCCATTATGGTGAGCCGAGCTATCATGCAGAACCTGAGGAAAAAACCCTGGATGTCCCTATGCATGCTCCCTGAGAGGATGAGAAGGGAGGGCAGGAGACCCAGCTGGTAGCCTAAGACCAATGGGTCAGGGGCAGGAAAGCTGAGCGCTCACATCTGCCAACACAAGCACAGGACAGAGCGGACGGGAAGTGTACCAGGCTTTTTGGGGGGGGGTAGTTCGAGACAGGGTTTCTCTGTGGCTTTGGAGGCTGTCCTGGAACTAGCTCTGTAGAACTCACAGAGATCCACCTGCCTCTGCCTCTGCCTCCCAAGTGCTGGGATTAAAGGTGTGCGCCACCATCGCCCAGCTGGCGTGAGGCTTTAAATCTCAAAGTCAGTTCATGCCTAGCAGCACACAATTCCTACCGCACCCTCTAAATGCCCAGACAGCACCACCAATGAGGGTTCAAACATTCTCACTCAAACCTGCAGCCTGGCATGGCTCCGTGTGGCCACAGGCTAGACTCTAGAAGGTTAGAGCTGAAAAAGAAGGCACATCAGTCCCCTGAGCAATGTGCTTAGAACTGGGACCCCTCTTTTGGAAATTTAAATATACATATATGAGATGTGTGTCTGAGAGTGTCTCTGAGGCAGAGAAACAAGACAGACAGGGACAGACAAGCAGGCATGCTACATGAGAAACGGCTGGCAAGCTGTCATGGTGCGGCCCTGATGGGCTGGGGAGGGCTGATGTTACAGGGCATCTGGGAGGACCTCCTGGATAGCTGGGAAGGCAGGAAGCTGGGTGGCTGGGATGGCCACACTTGAACTGGGTTGAGTTAGAAAGGCCGGCTGACCACACACACCTAGGAGCCCGGGACTCAGAAGCAAGTCCTCCTCCTCCCAGGGGGAGAGCTCGCTAAGGTGCACGCACAGCGGGCACAGTGGACGAGGGGTCTGAGTCATGGCGGCTGAAAGTGACCTCTGAAATCACCTGATCCCACCTCACAAACACTCAGCTCGGGTCTGGGAGGTGAGTGGCAGTGGCAGAGCCAACAATGACCTCACGGCTCCGCCCACTTCTTTCTGTCTCATTTGGTGTAGGGGCTGAAAGGAGGTGTGGCCTGGGGGTAGTTCTGTGCTTCCTTTTGAAGAGCCATGAAAATTTCCTCTTTCCTCCTACAGTTTATAAAACCAGTTGTCCCAGCCTGCAAGTTAGTCAGTGGTTGGGAAACTCTGGGAAACTGCCCATCTGTGGTCAGCCCAGGGTGGGAGCACCCCCATGGCCCACAGGTCTCTGTTCCTGTCCTCAGCAGGTAGGAAACAGGTCCAGTAGAGGCTCAGGGAGAACCAGAGGCTTCTCATCGGGCCTCATGTTCCAAGAATCCCAGCTGCCCTGGTGTACATGGCCTGCTCACTGTCTACTGGGTGAAATTTCCCAATTGCCTAAGTAAGTCTCAGAGAAGCAATAGACACACCAGCGTCCTACTCCAGTGGATGGGAAACTAGTAAAAAGACACAGGCAGAGCCTTCCCAAGGGCAGAGGGTTATCACAGCAGCTTGGGTGGGCTGGGCCTGACTTCCTGACACCTCACGGAAACCACTGCTCCTCCTCAGGCAGCACCAACAGCGGTAAGTGCACACAGCTGTCTGTCAGGGCTCCAGCGGGTCAAAGGACTCCTGAGAGGCTGGCAGGAGCTGGGGTAGAGCTGAGGTAAGAGCAGCCTTGGCCGTGCCCAGCACAGGCCTGCCGCCTTTCTCCAGAGGTGGAGCTCTGCGCTTGGTTTTCATTTGATGGGATCTTGTGTGGTCCAGGCTGGCTTCAAGCTCCCAGGCCAAATGCTGGGATTCCAGGCACAGACCACGACACTGGGCCACCGGATAAGGTTTTGGCAGCACCAAGAGGTGTGGGCAGGTGAGGGGGCCTGCTCCTGAGCAATGGCAGTGCCAGGCTCGGCACGCTCACCTTGCTGGCGTATTGCTCCAGGGCCACCACTGTGTCTGCACTGAAGGCCTCTTCATCCTCTGCTGCCAGGTCCTCCAAGCCCACCTCTGTCTGCACGGCGAGGATGGTGCCGTCCGATGACTCAGACACGGGGTGATGAATGTAGGCAGTGGAGCCGTCTTCCAGCTGGACAGCCTCCAGGGCGCTGGGGTCATAGCCCTCTACAGGGCACACGAAGTTAGTCCTGATGCCACACAGAGGGAGACCCAGCTGAGACCCCAACTTTAAATTATGAGTGGTGAGTACACCAGTGGGGGGGGGCTTCAGTGTGGAGTCTCTTCCGCCTTCACTCTGGTGATTTTTCTCTTGTCTCTCAGGAGGACAAGGCTTCGTAGGGTGCAATGACTGGGACTCACCAGCTCCTGAGGGCCTGGTCCATTATCATCTTGATGCAGATGTCCCCCAAGGGCTTCCTGCCCAGGTGCTCATCAGTCCCCATACCCTAGTTCACTTGAGTCTTAGGATAAAGACCTGAATCTCCACTCTGATGAGCCCCAAGTGCTCTGACCTCGGCTCTCGCCCCTTTGCCTTGCCCCTGTGGATCCTTGCATGGGCCCTTCCTCTAAGGCCCCCACCCCCACTCTGCTGGTTGGTCCTGTCTGCAGTGCTGAGTCCACACCGCCCTCCTCTTCCCCTAGTTCCCAGCTTCCCGACAGCTCTGCATAACTGAACGCTGGACTTGGGAAAAACTGGGCATCACTGAAGGCTTCTGAATGTGCAATGGCTAAAAACTGACTCAAAACAATGTGCGGTGAATCTGAGGTGTTTCTGGGAGTGCATGCTAGTGTTGCGTCACATGACCTCATTGCAGCCTCAGCTCCAAACACAACGTGCACTCTGCATTCTGCATGCTGTCAAGCCGCACAACACAAACCAACCCTGCCTGCAACACCTCAGCTCAGATCCAAGGTTGTCTTATAATTTGCAGTTTTAACTCTTCATACAAAGCGCCCTGCTCTAACAGAAGCATATCTGTTTAATTAGAGAAAATTTTAAAAAATAAAAATTTTCTATTGTCATTGCTCAACAAGTAGCAAATCTGTCTACTTTTGGATTATATTGTGTTATAGGTTTGATTTTAAAAACTGAAGTTCGAATTGTTGATTTGAATTTCATAAAAATTGTTAATCGAAACTGATCAGTGGTGGTGCACGCCTTTAATCCCAGCACTTGGGAGGCAGAGGCAGGTGGATCTCTGTGGGTTAGAGGTCAGCCTGGTCTACAGAGTGAGTTCCAGGACAGCCAGGGTTATACAGAGAAACCCTGTATAAAAACAAAACAAAACAAAACAAAACACACACAAAAAGGTTAAGTGAATTTTGGCTTGAGATTAGGGCCAGAATTTCCAACCATTTTGCGATGGCTCCAGCCACACGGCTGTCATTTAGCACTGTGTGACGTGAAGTGCGCTTAGCCATGGCGATTATAAAATGAAACTACTAATCAATCCTAAATGCTGAGGATAACCCCTCATCCATCACCATCCTGCGGTGCCAACATCTGGCCAGGAGCTCAGTGTGCAAATCTGCATCTGTCTTCAGGAACGGTGACTCTGGATACACACCAAACAACTGCCTACTGTGTGCAGAAGCCCGAGGAGGGCAGACAGCACTGCATCCTGTGGCTGGGGCACACGACTGTGGGTGTTGGGAACCGAGCCTGGGTCCTCTGGACGTGCAGGAAGTGCTCCTAACTGTGAGTCATCTCCCCAGCCCAAGAAGTATATGTCTTCATGACTCTTCATCAGTGACCGTTTATACAGAACTATATATCTAGGGCTCTGTAAAGTTGCTTGTGCAGGAGGGGTCAGAAGGGGAAGAAGCTGACGTAGTGTGGACCTGACGAATCTATGGCAGTCTGTCCGCCCTTGCTGAGAGGGGCTCGCCATCTGTCAGTCAGTCAGTCCATCCACAACAGCCGGCCTGCAGCTGAACAGCATCCTGTCTGACTTTGTTCTGTGTGTGTGCTCCAGCATGAGTGTAAAGCCTAGTGAGCACCTCCCTCGAAACCACGCCCACACTAAATGACTATTCTTTTGTACGTTAGAAACTATTTTCTTTTGGGTCTTTGAGACAGTCTCATTCCATAGCCCTGGCTAGCCCAGAACACACTAAGTAGCACAGGCTGCCCTTGAGGTCCTGGCGATCCTGCCTCAGCTTCCCAAGTGATGGGAGTGTAGGTATGAGCCACTACACCTGTTGAGGAGTTTCAGTCACTGTGAAAGATGGGTAAGTTTCTTTTTCCTGGCTTGTGACAATGCCCTCAGGTCCAACGCCAAGGCCTAAGTCTTGGTGGCTGGGCTGGTGCCAAAGCCAGCACCAAGGCCCATGCTGATGTTTGAGACTCGCGGCCGTCTTATGGCGGCTGTCCTGTGGTCTGCCCCAGGCCGCTCTCGGGCAAGCATGGTTGTGTCTTGGGGAAGGCGGTGCTTGTGCTAACCCCCTGCCCCTGCCAGCCTGCTTCTTCTTCCCCACCAGTCACATGACCACGGGCCCACCTTTGGGTGTGTGGTGTATGTAGGCCATGCTGCCATCCTCCAACTGCACAGGCTGACCATCCTCGAAGGAGAAAGATTCTGTAAAGAGAGCAACACCAGCCATCCTCTGGAGCCTGTGGTCACGGAGGGCGCCTCAGGGAGGGCTGCCAGGCCTCCCTCCGCACAGGGATGAGCTGGGGCACCTCACCTTTCTGTATCGTCACCTGGTGAATGTACGCAGTGGTTCCGTCCTCCAGTTGGATCACCTGCCCTTCAAGCAGCTTCTCTCCTGAGGAGGTGGAAGCAGAGGGGTGGGCCAGGCCTGGCACGGGTCTACTGCATGCTTGTCTGCTTTGGTAGACGCCTACTGGACTCTCTGAGTCCTTGCCTGTGACCCAAGCGTGGGTAATGTTCGCCATGTTCCCTCATGCGAAGCCTCAGTCTGGAGGCATTGAGGGAAAGGACATTCATCCATGAGGTAACCTTACGTGTGCCCTTCCAGTCACTCACCCAGAAGCAAGCTGCTTCACTGTCCCAGCCACACCTGTGAAGATGGAGACCTCTCATCTAACACAGAGCTGCTGAGATTGAGCTAAGTGGAAAACAAAGAATGTAACAGTGTGCCAAGACTTGGGGCCTCCAACAGGCAGGCTTTGGTGTGGGCGGTAGCTGTGGTGGGCTCTGGGGCCAGGACACAGCGCCCGTGTAAACTCCGGGTTCTCGTTCACTCTTTGTGTGACCCTGGCTGCCAGCTCATCCTCACAGCTCTCTTCCTCACACAGTTGCCCGGAGGGAGGACTGAGCGAGTCCACTGGGAACATGTCAGGGTTATGTCAGCTTCAGGGTTCACTCTAGTGAGGCTACTGTGCAGTCTGAGAGCCACATCTGGTAGTGCACACCTACAGTCCCGGCACCTGGGAAGTGGCGGCAGGAGGCCCAGGAGTTCAAGGTCAGCCTCTGCTAAACTGCATTTTGAAGCTGGCCAGGACTAGATGAGAGCCTTTCTTCAAAAACAAACAAAATAAATGGAAGTAAAGAAATATGGAGCTATGTGGGCGTGTGGATGTATGTGTGTGTGTGTGTGTGTGTGTGTGTTCCTCAATAAGTATCTCTCACAAGTTGGCCAGGAGCTCCCAGATTCCCCAGGGATGCTCTTGCCTCTGTCTTCCAGCAGTGGGATTATAGGCCTATGCCATTGCACCCAGCTTTTATGTGGGTGCTGAGAGCTGAACTTGGGTCCTCACTCTTATGTGTCAAGTGAGTGAGCCGTCTGCCTCGCCTGAGTGTGACTGTCATGCTCTGGCTCATCTGGGTCTCACTCCACAGCCGTTTGAGTCACATGGGTCTCCTTCACTGACCTATGAACCTCAAGCCCCCTGACCCAAAGCGTTTCTTGTTACAGGATCTTCCTGTATAGCCCAGATAAACGAAGACCTCAAAGTCGTGGTGAGCCTCGTCTTTCTGCCTTCTAAATGCTAAGGTTACAGGTGTGGGCATCATGTCAGGCTTTCTTTTCTTTCTCAGTGCTGGGGACTAAACTTAGAGCCTGGTGCATGCTAGGTAAGGGCCTCACTCAGGAGCTTGTTTTTTGTTTTTCCTTTTAGAAGGTCTTGATATGTGGCCCAAGCTGCCCTCAAGCTGGCAGTCCTCTTGGAACTCAGGTGTGGGCCACTGTGTCCTGGCTGATCTGTGATCTTTCTCATCTCTCTCCTCTCAGGCAAGGTCTTAGGTTGCCCGGTGGCCATCACAGTCAGTGCAGACTGAGGATAACCTTGACTTCCTCAGTCACTGCAGACTGAGGATAACCTTGACTTCCTCACAGTCACTGCAGACTGAGGATAACCTTGACTTCCTCACAGTCACTGCAGACTGAGGATAACCTTGACTTCCTCAGTCACTGCAGACTGAGGATAACCTTGACTTCCTCACAGTCACTGCAGACTGAGGATAACCTTGACTTCCTCACAGTCACTGCAGACTGAGGATAACCTTGACTTCCTCAGTCACTGCAGACTGAGGATAACCTTGACTTCCTCACAGTCACTGCAGACTGAGGATAACCTTGACTTCCTCACAGTCACTGCAGACTGAGGATAACCTTGACTTCCTCACAGTCACTGCAGACTGAGGATAACCTTGACTTCCTCACAGTCACTGCAGACTGAGGATAGCCTTGACTTCCTCGCCCGCCTCTGCTTTCACTGCGCTAGCTCTGGGCTCACAGGAGTGAGCCACCACATGTGCACAGCTCCCGGAATTGGACTCAAATGCTCCCTGCTCAGGCTGTCCTCTCAGGAGTGAGGACAGAAGGAAGGGGAGAGTGACAAGTTCACGCAAGAGGTGTGTGTGCTCCTTCCTTTGACGTTTCCGGCCTAGGCACTGAGTCTGGTAAGTCAGGAGACACCAGCTGCCCCTCCTGACTCCCTACTGACAACTTCCCAGCAAGGGAACCCACACTTGCCCCTAGAGGGAGACTTCCAGGGCTCTGTTGTAAGTAGTAGATTATGCACAGCACAGTTGTGACACCAGTTATGGAGTTGTGCACAACCTTGAATAGCAAATGCCCTCCTATTTTGGAAAGTTCTGGAATCCACCGGAGGTGGGCCTGGCTGGAAGAAGTATGTCCCTGGGAGTCAGGCGGTGTGTGTGTTTCTTGGCTCTTTTCTGCCTCACTGCCTCCTTCCTGTCTGCCATAGGGTGAAGGACTCTCACCACCCACAGGCTTCTGTCTGCCATGTTTGCCCAAGCAGGAGGTCAGAGCAGAGTTTTCTCCTTCGTGTCATTTATGGGAGATTTTCATCACAGCAAAGCAAAAGAGCTCACACAGAAAACTGGGAGCCGAGAAGTGGGGTGCTGGCTGTGCCGACAGTGTGGATCTTGGGAACTTTCCGTGGGAGGACTTTGGAAACGTTTGGGGAGGCAAACTAGAAAAAGCTTAGGTTGCTGTAAGCAAAACTTAACAAGCAGTTCCTGTGGGAGTTTGGAAGTCCAGGATGCCAAGGGGACATGGTCAGTGGAGACCAAGACCCCATGGTTTCAGAGGGGGCAGGGACTCTAGTGGGAACGGACTGGAGGGCCATTCACGGTGCATTCTGTCAAAGAGCACTGCCTATGTCCTAAGACTTTGAGTAAGGCTGACTTTAAAAGTAAAACACTAATTATTCTGATGGAGGAATTTACTTATCTATTTATTTTTTGAGACAGGGTGTCTCTGTAGCTTTAGAGCCTGATCCTGGAACTCAGTTTGCAGACCAGGCTGTCCTTGTACTCACATAGATCTGCCTGTATCTGCTCTCCAGTCTGGGATTAAAGGCATGCGCCACTGTCACCCAGCTCTGATGGAGGAAATTTTAAAAAATTAAATTACTTATGTGTGTGTGCATGCGAGTGTGTGTAAGTGGTGAGGAGGCGAAGACTGAAGAGGGCAGGGTTTTAGAGGAGCGGCTTCCTGGGCCAGAGGGCACGCTGCTTTGTCGCTCTGGGTTTTGTTTTTTAAAGATTCATTTATTTACTATGTACACAGTGTTCTGTCTGCATGTATGCCTGCA